GACCGAGCAGGGGGGCGTACCCCCCCCCGTCGACCTGCAAAACTTCGTGGCGTTTCAAGATGGCTTCGACAAGCTCTTCAAAGCAGCCGATGCCTGCGAGGTATGAAGACCGCGGTTGTTTCTACGCGTTGCTCCTCCCATCAGAAACGAGCACCATCTGTCGGGAAGGCCGGTGTCTACATGGTTGCCGCGAGGGTTGTTGTGGCTCTGCTGCTGTTTGGACACGGAAACAGGCGTTGTGGTAGCACGACGTGACGGTGGCCACGTGCCCATCGTGTGTGTTGTCGCGTGCATGAGTCGTTTCTTGTTCGCTTGCAGCCGTCTTTCCCCATGTCTGCCATGTTGGATACCGACTCTATTTGTCTCTCTCTGAAATCTGCCTTCCGTTGCTGGCGTGCCCTGTCTCACACCCTTCGTGCATGATGTGTCCTCTGTAGTTCTCCTGCTTCCTGCAGTGGCGCTGCCCAGTGCCGTTGCCACCACAACGTCCCACGCGTGTTTCGCAGACGACATGATCAACGAACACGACACCATGTTGCGGAAATAATCGTCATCGTCGATGAAGTTTCGTTCTTCCTGATCTCTCTCCGCCAAGCCCTCCCAAGCTAATAACCTTCCGCCGTCTCGTGCGAAGAATTACCGTAGTCTCGAGGTGAAGGACCATGACCACACAAGCGGTCACATCACATCTGCAGGTACCCCCCTTCAACCTGAAACCGTTTCCTTTCCCCAACTGCCCGCTCACCGCGCCGCCTACCAGATCTCCGGAGATGTCTCCCTCAAAGCCCTGGCAGCTGTCAGCGGCGCCCTGACCGACAACCCGCTATCCCGGAAGCTTTTCTTGGCTGGGGGCCACCTCCCCCGGCTCCCCCCGCTCCTGTCCGTCCTCAGACCCGGGGACGATGCGGAACATCCCCTGGTTCCACCGCCTCAGCAGCAGCAGCAGGCCGCCACGAGCAGTCGCCGCCGATGGGGCTGGGGTAGAGACAAGGCCCAGGAATCTGCAGTGGCTAGCGTCGAGGGTAACGGTAGCGAAGGAGGAAACGGTAAAGGTCCCGCCGGCGGCGGGCCGCCGTCCAGCGGGGGGAGGAGGGCTGCTGCTTCATCATCGTCGCAGCAGCAGCAGCAGCAGCAGCAGCAGCAGCAAGCGGGCGGCGATGCGGAGAAAGGCGGCTGGTCAGGCCAGGTCCCGATCCCTCGTATTCGCGCGGCGCTGTCCCTGGTGTCGGCACTCGTAGGCTGTGGTCGAGAGGTAGGCGTGACTGTCTCTGGCGAGGCACCGATGGCCGCAGCAGCCGCCGCCGCCGGCGGTGATAAGTACGGCTTGTCGGCGGGGGTAGGCGCTACGGCGAGCACGGCGGCGGCGGCTGGTGATGAGGTTCTGTCGGCGGTGGGGAGGGAGGAAGGGCTGCTGGAAGCGGTGTGCGAGCTGGCGCTGGCGTCCCCGCTTGCCCCCGCGGGAGGCGGGCCGACGTGGTCGGAGTACGGGTTGCCCGCGGACTGCCAGAGGTCCGCCATGGAAGTGCTGGCCGTGCTCGTCGCGAGACACCCGGCGAATCAGGTATGTATGTACAAAGATTGCACGCGCAACCTCCCTCTTGGCGAGGAGGCATTTTTAGTTTTTGCTGCTCGGTTCTTACGCTTCCCCACCCCCACCACCTGTCGTGCCTGTACCCGCCGCCATGCCTATATGTATAACCTCTCATCCTCCAGAATTTTCGAGACAGGCTTTGTCCCCATGAACGTGTGGGAACAAAACAATAACAGCGGCATCACCCTCCCACTTGCCCCCCTTCTCGTCATTTTTTTGGTTCCCTCTCGTTCCTCATGTGGCGGTGGCGGTGGCGAAAGCAGTCGTGCCTCGCTCGGTGTCAAGTCCGAGGGGCTCCCATGTCCGTGACGCTGCACGGCCAGAAACAGCTCGTCAGCTCCGAGCCCCGCAACGTCGTGGACGCCCTCCTGGAGCTGTGGCTGGCGGCCTCATCGGCGATGGAAGACGGGGCGACGGCGGCGGCAGCAGCAGCAGCAGCAGCAGCAGCAGAGACAGATGCCGACAACGAAATCAATGCCACCTCTGAGGTATGATAAGGCGCACGTAGGCATATCGATTTTTGTTGTTGTTGGGGGCGGTATCGAGAGGGCCCGCACGTGATGACAACGCACCCCCTGCGCATACAACGGATCACGGCTGTGGAATGTCAAGCAGTCGAGGCCAGAGCTGTTACGACAACACACCGTTACACCAAATTTGTTTGTTTCCCGCTTGTCCCTCCTGCCCGAATGCGCACAGGTGGCACTGCTCGATAGGACCCTCGATGCGTTCCTGTCCGGCAACACCGAATGGTGCAAATCGGTTCTCGCCGGAGTCGCCGCGAAGCACGCCTCCGCCGCAAGACTAGAGGACGCTAGCCGAAGCTCCTCCCCCCCCGCGTCCACCGGGAACCCGTCCTCCGTCCCCCGCAGCAACGATCACGTCTCCGTTGCGAACGGCACTAGCAAGGAGCGGGACGTCGGAGGCGTTGCCGTCATGTCCACCGTCGCCAAAATAGGCCTCCTGTGCGTCCGCGCCTCCTCAGCCGCCGCTCCCCAGTCGTCGAAGCCCGGCGAGACAGAGGCTAACGGTGGAGGCGGAGAGGACGACCCGCTGGCGGCGGCGCTACGCCTCCGCCTCCTCCGGCGCGTGCTGCAGGCGGGCGGCGCCGACGCTCGCGCGATAGCCGCCAGCGTCGGCTTACCTACCGGGGCTGCTGCTGTACGGCGGGGGGGTGAGCGCGCGCGGGAGTCGAGCGAGGGGGAAAGCAACGGCCGGGAAGAGCCGAGCGGAGTCGAGGGTCCGATTGAGGAACAGCAGCGGGGAGGCGGAGAGCGTGGCGGCGGCGGCGGGGCGGGGGGGGCGTCGGACGGGAACGGGGAGGGGGGGTCGGGTAGAAGGGTACGGTGCGGGCCTCCGCTGACGCCGGCCCTGGAGGTAGCGATGAGGCTGCTGGCGGACGGGTACAAGTGCGCCGTCACGCGACAGGTGGGAGGACACATGCGTTGGTGGTGTCCCTGGGTCGAAAAGTATGCACTGTATGCCATCATGAAGAGGGGGCCACCGTTGGTACCATGTACTCCTTCTCACGGCCCGCCGATTGTCCTGCGGCAGAGCGTGCGGCTGTGGATCCGCAAACATTGGGAGAACCAACGTACCTCCCGTGCAATGGCTCGCCTCTGTCATCAACGATGCCACCCCCCGCCCTACCGAACAGACCGGTGTCTTGGAGGCAGAGGGAGAGGAGCGTCGATCCCCGCCTTCGGATCTCACGCACTACCTCATCTCTCTGGGCGAGCTGGTGTTGACCTGGCTCTCCCTCGCTCCCGCGGAAGGGGTGGGACCCGCGCTGTCCCGAAGGCTGCTGGCGAGCGGCTCGAGCTGGACGTTGTTGCGGACTTTCGGCAGGGCCTTCCGGCCTGATTTGGTGAGTGCGGGACATACACTCAAAAGCGCGTGCAGTTCTGCCGGTGGCGGCTGCATATCGATCACCTCCTCCGCACTTCGTCCGGCTCTATGGCGGGTGTTCCAAAAAGTGTGTTGGGCTGTACCGGGTGTCTTCTTTTTGTCGCGCTTAAGCGTGGCTTAGATGCCTCCCGCAGCCTTCAACGAGGTTTTCCGGCCAGATTGATGTTGTTGCCCTTGCCGCACGTGGTGGCTGTCTCGTACCCAAAGGCGGAGATAAAAGTTTTGGAGGGATGTCTGTGTGTGAGTGCTCTGCAGAAGGGATCGCGTAGTTTCGGATCCTTCGGGTATATTTAGAATCATGTTTCTCTTGAAACTTTTTTGATGCGTAGATTTTCGTTTGGCGGAGCGTTGGAGGGTGTGCCCAGTATGTCAGGCCGGTGCTGTGTGGCTCTCGACTCTTGGCCCTTCGTTCAGAGCACAAAACACTATCGAGCCGCCCGGGAGGGAGAGCCGGGGTGGCGAAGTCTCCCACGACTTTGAATCCAACCCTTTTGGTGGAGAATGTTCGGATGGCCCCCTCCCCTGGTCTGGTGAAAACCCGGCGTGCTCCGTCCCGGCTTTGTAGGGATGCGAGGTCAATGGTCTAGCGACTACGGCATGCACAGCCCCACCCCCACCCTAGATCGCGCCTGTCACTTCACACCTGTAGAATCCTGAATCCGAGACGCTCGTTTGTCAGGCGCGAAGGGACGTACCGCCAGGGAATGGAGACCACATCGAAGAGGGCCACGACGCTGCTGCTGCTTCAGCTGCCGACGCCACAAGTGCGGACGGGAGAAGGTTATCGGACGACCCTTCCTTGTCCTACCTCCACGCGGTTGTGGCCATGGTCGTCGGAAGTTTCGTGTCCTCGGGGAGTAACCTGGCGAGCCGAGCGCTGGCGGCGGGAATCGAGAGATACGTGAGTTTTTTTAAGAAAGTAAAGAGGTTTTTTACCATCCCAACAGCAAGGATCGCGAAGAAAAATATGTACACGCCGGAGAACCTCGACACCTGGTTATCTCTGCGTAACAAGAGTCGTCCCCGCTTTAAGGATACTCCCCTGCTGCTTAAATGACAGCCTTGTTTTTCAGAAGTGTGGCGCACGGCAGAACGTAATAACAGTATATATATAGGGGGGTATCCTTTTAGGGCATTTGCCCCCTAGAAGGACACAGTTTTTTACGAAAAACCCTGAGTGTCCTCACAGTACGGTGGGGACGACTGCTGTAGTGTAGAACTTAAAACACCAGCAGCGGCGTTCGTCAAATGAAGATATTCTAGTTGCACGCAAGCTCGAGTGGACGAAGTCCAGACAATCCGAGATCTTTTGTGTTCCGAACAGTTTTTGCTGAATTCTCGGGCATTTTCCGACGCTAAATATTAACTACCGAGCTCGCGACGAACGTTTTTTTTTGTTGTTGTTGTGACCGACGTTTTGTCGTTTCGTCTTCTTTTTGTGTGTGGCAGGTTGGCTTGTTTGAGTTTTGCAGGATCCTCGACTCTGCAAGCGACTGGATTGCGTTCGCTTGGCCAGCTACAGCTATGCATACACCCACACACCCTGGCGGGAGCATGGCGGGAGAGATGCGCGTCCCCTCGTTTTGGGCGTTGGCAGGTGCGGAGCGGGGGGTCGTTGCTTTCACTTTCTTTTTCCATGACTGGGCACGATGGTATCAACGAGTCCTGATCCATCGTCTGTGTGACCCTGCGTTATGGGGCTGACTGACTGACGAGCGGAAAATATATCCACCGTTGTTTGCAGCCGTGCGGTTTCATGGGTGTTTCGACATCATGTCTTGCGCGTTGTTCGTACCTTTGTCCAAATTGGTATCACTCCTCGGTTAGCTGGCTAAGTAGGGTGACCGTCCCTCTGTACTCGGGGCCTATGGTGAAAATTTGCACACCGAACCAAACGCGTCTATCCACGACCCCCAACTCACAGAGAGTTCGATTCGATTCGCTCGGGTTTCGTGGCGGCCCATGACCAATTCCATCTCTCTCTCTCTCTCTCTCTCTCTCTCTCTCTCTCTCTCTCTCTCTCTCTCTCTCTCTCTCTCTCTCTCTCTCTCTCTCTCTCTCTCTCTCTCTCTCTCTCCCTCTCTCTCTCTCTCTCTCTCTCTCTCTCTCTCTCTCTCCCTCCCTCTCGAAACAGGCGACTCCACCTTCTCCAGCAGGCTGGTAGAGATAATCCAGACCGCCCAGATGACGATGATCGACCTCATCATCAAGGGTGGCTCTGAATCCGAGGCCACCCGACGAAATACCACCGACCAGGGTGCAGAAGAGGGGGGCCCGCCATCATCTCTTAGAGACCAGGGGGGGGGCGCTAACACGGTCGACGGTGGTAGCCGGGAAGCGTTTGAAGCGCTGCTTCGGCGCCAGCAAGCTAGGATCGAGGAGCTCGAGCGCCGCTTGCTTGCCCCCGGCGCCAATGCCGACCATGTCGATCCCGCCTTTGTTGCCGAAGGCTGCGAGCAGCAGCACCCTACGCTTACTATCTAGAGGCACATCATGGGTGTCTAGTAGATGGGAAGGCCGCAGGGACGCACGATCGTCTCATGTTGGGTATTTTGCCGCACTGAAGAATGATTTCACGGTCACGGAAAATCCGTCCCGGGTCCTCATTTTTCGGGCGGAGCGCTGTGTGTTACTACGGGCTTAAAATGCTCCAGTGGGATTGTCGTTGGCACGACATGGCATTTGGCGCTTTTGACACTTGCGTGAAGTAGAACAATAATACCAGCGTGTACAATAGACTGCTGGCTCGCGTGGCTCTTGAGGTGCAAAAGAGACTGCGGGTATGCGTACGTCTTTGTGCCGCACGCGCAGCAGCGCGGACTGGGTTAGACGACGGTTTTCCCCGCGCGTGTTGCTGGAACCCTCATGCATTGATTTGCAGACTGTAAGTGTCGATGCTTGCTAATTTAGATGAGGTGCTGTTGCCTTTTCATCATCTTTGCGCGCTGTTGCTGGAGGAGTGTGTAAGACTGCCGTGTTCTGTGCTGTTTTCCAGGAGAAAGCCTAGAAGTGGGATTGGTGCGCTGTTTCTTGCTGTGCGGTTGCTGTTCTGTGCTGTAGGGTGGGTCCGCCGTGTGTGCCGGAACAGGGGAACTCCCGTCAGGTTCACGGGATTCCGCAGTCCGGCCCGACATACTCTGTATTGGAGAGAAAATAAGAGCAGTGCCTTCTCCGCGTTGTGCCTGCCCTGCCTGATGGATAGGCTGGCACAAGACAGACACCACGCGGTGTAATCCGTGCCAACAGCCATCTCCCCGAAGATTCGTACTTCGTACGTTGTAATAGTTGTGAACAGCCTTCCTTTTCCTGCAAGCGGCAGGGCGATATGCTTAATACATTACTTTAGTGTCCTTCCCGCGGTGGTGTTGTTTTGACCGGGTGCTTCTTGGTTGATCGCTGTTACGATACCAAGCAGTCCTGAAACTGTGTTTGACGTCCTTGAATGTTCAAAAGTTCTTTCGCCAGCTTTAAAACTCTTCAGACAACTGTAGGATAGTGCTGCATATGCCTTGCCTGTGAGTGAGGAGCTTATGCACCTGGTGCACTATTGAGAGATATTTCGACTACATAGTGTTTTCACTTGTGTGGGACATCGGGGGAGTCTCAGGTACAGCGGTTTGGTACTTGTTTTGTGCATGTATGTTTCCCAGTGTGATGCTGGCTGCCGTGTTTATAGCGCCTGTATCACGGACCTTGAGAAGTCACGTATATTATTGTGTGTGTTCCCTGCGTTAGGAACCGGCCTTTGACGAAAATCAACCCGTTCATTTTCCCGTCTGGCGGAAGAAATAGACAACTTTTCTCCCGTGAGCGAGTGAAAGTACAACAGTGTGGGTACAAGATAGTAGTCTGCAGTAGTTCGAGTTGGACAGATGTTTTGGGCAACAACAAACGCGGGGAGTGCAAACGCAGAGCACAATTTCCCAACCATCGCGATGGACGGGTTAATTTTTAAATCTTGTATGTAGTCTCCCATTTTATTGCGGACTCAATATATCGCGGACAAGGTTCCGTTTAGGTTCTTTCATGCCCGGAGCAGAAACCGAGCCTATTCGGAGTGGATTAATAGCTGGTAGAGACAGCAGTGGGGACCAGCAACCTCCCTTCTCTCGAGAAGACTCTTCCTCCGAGATAGAGGTGGGACCGCATCATCTCTTCGGCCGTACCCCAACATGTCGTTCACATTCATCCTGGGGACGGACGGACCTTGGAAAAGAAATAAATAGCGTGCTTTTCGTAAGAAACCCCCAATCATTGGTATGCGAGCAGGTGCGAACACTATTACAACGCCGCGACCGCGCGGCGCAACAACAGCCAGCCACAAGAGCTACCCGCAACAGTAACAATATCGTGTTGACTTGTTGACTTGTTGACTTGTTGACTTGTCCATTTCCTCAATGTGTGACCGTCCCGAGCTCCTCCCTCCCGCCTCTCTCCATCGCCGCTGCGCTGCGGGTTTTTAAAGCATCCACTGCCCACGAGATACCCGTACACAGAACCTCACGTGTGAAAACAACTACGTTACAAAACACAGCGCACAGACCATCAACTGCCCTCCCCCCTCCCCCCTCCCCCCTCCCAGTCCCGAAACACATGACATGAACCGCCGCCGAAGGTCACATTTTTGTAAACTACGATACAGAGCGTATCGAGGAGTGCGCCGATCGATGGGTACCACCTTAGTAATGATACTCTACGCTTGGGCACTTCTTGAAATACTCGGTAGAGCAAACCGATTTTTATGTTGTACTGTACGGTGGAAAATCGCACGTCGGAAAAAAATGTTTTGAAAAAAAAAAGAAAAGCGAGAACCCCCCCCCCCGGGGGGCGGCGCCAAGAATTCGTTCCAACGGCGACCTTCTTGCTTTCAAGGACATGTTGTCGATTCATGAATAAACATTCATCACGTCTGGCCCAAAACCGCCTGCCTACGCACAAGACTTGAGGCGGGGGGCCTCCTTAACACGACACGACAAGATATCAACCATTTTCCCTGTCTAAAAAAACAACTCAACTGTCTCAGGAACAAGAAACACCGGCGGCGTGCACGGTAATACACACGGATACCACGGGCTGAATTACAACACCGAGCGCTGGATTGCGGCGGTACAAAATGACCGACCCTGACATGGAGGTGGTAACAAAAAGCAAACGCACCAACGCTTCAAACCTTCCAAACTTCTCCGTCGGTTTGCTGGAGCGAAGAAAAGGAAAGGGAACAAAATCAAAGACCATCATGTCCTACACTTCGTCAAGCACAAGGTATGCGGTGGCCACGCGCTAACGGTACCCAGAATGTTACACATAAAGAGTCAAACAAGAAACTGACGTGGGACGGGGGCAATCAACCCCATCCCCCCCCACCCGTCCGACCACGAGAACACAAGGGGGGAAGTTCAAGCCGTACGAGACCAAATACTAATACTTGATCCAATCGTACTACCGCTTACCATACCCATTGACCAAAGCAATCTTTTTACCACTTGCAGGTATCGCCCTCTGCCAATCCGCGACCTTCGTACAACACTCAGAATATCATGGGCTAGACCAACGACGGCCGACACAAACCGGCCGATCGTTCGGGCTTTGGGCTTCGGCTCGGGTGCAAGACACCGCTCCGCGAGACGAGAACAAAAATCTACAAGAGGGGGAGAGCGGCGGAGCGGGCAAAACACAGAAGACATTAACACGCACACACACGCACAGCACACACACAAAAAAGCCTTCCGACCCCTTCTCTCCCCCGCGTGCCGCTGAACGGCAAGGACACGCTTTCGTTTTCGCCGACCCCCACTCTACTCCCAATTCTACAGAGCACGCCACCCCCCCCTTCTTCTCCCTTCAAAAAGAAACCCGAAATAGGTACACACTTAACATCCTTCCCATCTTCGGTCTGGCGCTAGGGGGCTCACTCCCACTTCAAAGCCCACTTTTCTCTAGGGGACTAAAATAAAAACAACCAAAATTGAGCCTCAGGCGTTACCCCTACCTCCGAAAGCCCCACTACGAGTGTGTCGGCAATGGCCAAAAGCCAAGCAGCAGCTCGACTTGTCTCTCACGCGTCGGCGTCGACTTCCGTTTCCTTCGGGTCCAGCAGGCCGGGGGCTGCGGGTCGCGGGGAGTACTTTGCGCGGCGCAGTTTCACAAGCCCCTTCTCCCCGAGGTTGGACAGACTCGAGCCCGAGGCCGATAGGTCGGGGTTGTGCCTGTTGTGAAGCAATAGCCGCAACCCCGACGCGTCGGGTTGTTGCAAGGCCTTCTGATGTTGACCAAACACGAAAAAAGAAGTTGGGCGGGCGGGGGGGTTGAGAGATGTGTGGAGTTTTGTCTTCGGCTCGAATAGCTCGGATAGACAGGAACGACCTCCACGCACTTATTGCTCCCCAGGACATCGGTCAGGACTTCATGCAACGCGGCCTCTCGGTACTCTTCGAAGCATTCCTCCAAAGTGATGTTGACGAAGACAAATAGGTCAAGGGATAGCTTCACACTAGCTCATATGCGACACCCGCCGGCGACGAGAAAATTACATGAACCAAAGGTCGACCCCCCCCACCCCCCCGCCCCACGCCTGAAAAACAAGCATTAATCAAGGTACCTAGACCATGTACCAGTGCAACACCACCCACGATTTCACACGCACGCACGTCCGTGAACCAAGGGGTTCAAGGACGAAAACACAGCAGCCAAACGCGACAAACCATGACACCTCACACACACCAACCGCACTCACCACAAGGCCGCCAACCTTCTCCTGGCCCGGGTCTCGTTCGGTCATGCTGTGCGGCTGCGCCCCCCTGGACGCCGCCCGCCTTCTCGGGGGAACCAAAGCGCCATCCGTAGGCCACGACCCGTTGCTGCCGATCGCTCTGAACTCGGTAGGCGGCCGCTCTGACCCCCCACCTCGTCTCATCGCCGCGTTTCCCTCGCCGCCGCCGCCGCCTGTGGACGCCGCCGCCTCTGTAGCATCACCATCGTCTCCAGCAGCAGCTGCGGTCGTGTCCGCGGAGGACGGAGAAGGACCCCAGGACATCGCGGCGGGTATAGCGGGGGCCCTGCCCATCTCCGTGGGAGAAGACGAAAGCGGCGGCATTGTGGCCGGCCCGGGCGATAACGACCCCTCGTCATCGCGGGGTGGCGGCGGCGGCGGTGCCGTACGGCCGGTGGTCCCAACGGAAGAAGAAAACGACGGAACCCCCCCACCGATTCCTCTCGCGAGGCCGCCCATATCGCCGCCGCCGCTGCGGAGCATAGGGTTCGCCATCCCGCCAGCTATACTGCCGCCGGCTCTCACCCCCCTCCCTCGCGCCAACGGGTTCGAGACTCCGGCGCCGCCCATGCTCGCCGCTCCCCGCAGCCCCGCCAGAGGGTTTGCCACCCCGCCCCCCGCTCCCCCCCCCCCAGAGCTCGTCTCCGCGCCGCCGCCGCTTCCTGCCGCTCGCATCGCCGCAAGAGGGTTGGAGTAGCCTCCGTGACCGTTGGCGGCGACCCCGGACCGTGCGCGACCGGCTCCCGCTGCCGTCCCCCCGGCCAAACGCCACATGGAGTTCCCTGAAAACGCCCCGGCGGGTCCCTTGTTAGGCCCCTCCTGGCTCTGGGCGGGATTGGTGAACCCCCGGGGACCCTTGGCGGCTAGCGTTGCCGCGTGGTTCCCGGAAGCAGCAGCGACGGCGTTGCCCGCCTTGGAGCCGCTGGCTCCCACTCCTGCGTCTCCTTCCCCGGAAGAAGCTTCGACGCCTTCCTTCTCCTCTCGCTCGCCGTCGCCGTCCGCCGCGGCAGCCGATTCCTCCGACTCTCCCTGCGCGGTGGTGGCCAAAAACTTGTTCCAAGCGGCGCGGCCGCCCGCGATCGGCATTGTCACCTTCGCGGACGGCATGCCTGGCCTTCCCAGCGCCGAGGACCGTGGCCTCCCGCCGCCGCCGCCGCCGCCGCCGCTGCCGCCCGCCAAAACCGCCATCGTGCTCGGTAAGGTCGATGAAGGAAGGGGTCTCAAATAATTTTGCGGTGCAGGGCTAGGCTCAACCGTACCTCGCCCTTCTCCCTCCGCCGGCGCCGCTGCTCCGTCGTAGACAGCTTCTGGGCCCATGTCAGGCCCAGCCGGGCGATGGACCGCCGCCGCCGCAGCCGCCCCCGCCGCCAAAGCGTCCTGATAGGATGGCAAGCCCTGCCTGTCTTCCTTCGACGCTGTTGTCGCAGTACCTCCTTCATCGCCAGACCCTGCCTCCTCCTCCTCCGATCGCGACACGGAGGCGGCGGGATCGTCAGCCTTGCTGTCAGAATCCAACACCTCGGCGGAAACAGCGCTGCTGACGCTGCTGTCGGCTTGTTTGTTGCCGAGCACCACAGTTTCCCCTTTCTTGTCGTCGCTGCGCTGTCGCGCAAACACCGTCGACACAGCCGACAACGCGGCCATGGGCCGCACGTCCCCACCAGAGGTCGGGCTTTCGTTCGGGCTTCCGTTCGACCCCCTCTTGGAGCCGTCGTTGTCAACCTCCGAGTCCGAGTCCGAGTCCGAGAACACAATGGACTTGGATGTTTCGATCGCTGCGCCAAAAGACGGGGCAGACGGGTGAACGGTTACAACCCGGGGATTCGTCCGGGTGCTAGCCGATGATTTTTCACAGATTGCTGCATGCCAATAACATTCGACACGTGTTCGACCAACAAACACCGTCTCCTCAAAGAAAGAAAATACGCCATATTAACGTTGTTGTACGACAAGACCCTATCATACACACCAAGCCATAGCCCCCAATCCTCACCTGTGAAGGACCGCCTAGGGTTGCTTTTCGTCGAAGCCGTGCACGCCGCGCGATCCTCCCGTTCCTCGCGCAGTCCCTCTTCCTTCTCCGCTCGCGCAGCAGTGCTGTCGCCGTCCGTCGCCTTCTTCTTCTCCATCAACAGCGCGTCAATCAGAGGAGGACCTTCAGACTCTGCGCCTGCAGCTGAGCTCCTAGCGGGCGATGCCTGCACAACGCCATCTCCAACAGCCGCCGCAGTCGCCACACCATTTGCGGCGGCGGTGGGCTTCGCCTCCCAAGTACTCCTCGCCGATGCCGCTCCCGGGACAGCACTGCTGTTGAAGGTACCGGCGGGTTTCGCCTCGGCAGCCGCCGTCGCTGCTTCCGGGAGACTTTCGTCGTCACCCGCCGTCTCAGTGGGGAAGGAGCTCGCGTGAGAGCTGCCGTTGACAACGACTTCACGCTCGGCACCCTCTCCCTGGGGGTCGATCTCCTTCTCGACCGGGCGCGAAGCGGGTGGCGGGAGAGCAGAACGGCGTCGGGGAGACGAGGAGCGCGTCGGGGAGGCGCTTGAGCGGGTGCGGCGGCCACCAGCTGGAGGCTCCCGCTTCCTGGAGTTGTAAGGGCTGACGACTCGCCTGCGCGCGGCGGAGGGCATCGCATCGCGTGGGCAAGTTAGCGGCCACCGTCAAGCCAAGACACAACGTTAAGCCTCAACGCTACGGCTACATGCAACGGAATGCCAATAGCCCGGAAGCCGACACAAAACGATTGCTACAACAATCCAATACTCGAACAAACAGTGATTTCGAGGGAAAAGACTAAATAGAGGCAGTGCATCACGTGCAAGAAAACGGACGGTCCGGACAATCCCTCCTCCAAGATGGGGGGGGGGGGGAGGAAGACGGGGGGGGGGGACGGAGAGGCTCGATTGGCTAACCTGGCTGGAAAATCAGAAGCGACCACCCGCTTGCGCGACGCGTCTTCCAGAGTCGACGACGGAACGTTGGACGCCCTGCAACCGATTAGCAAAAGAGATTGAATCGCACACGGGACAAAAGGCTTGAGAAACGCACAAGTACACCGGGTTATGCTTCGTGGATGACATGTGAAGGGTCGTTACGTTTTCCGTTCGACGGCATGCCTAGCTTAGGCACTAGTGACGAAAGTAGGTTGAGGGTGATCAACTTCAACTTTTGGGTGGGGCATACGCCAAGGATTGTCAGGCTCTGGTTGCGCCGACTTCCAATTGGTTTCGAGCGAGCCTGCAAACTTGAACCAAAGGTTTCGATCACAACAGCTTCAAAAACAAAAAATACCGCCAACAAGGGCACGTTCTGTGGTCACAACCAAAGCACCGCTTTCACACATGGGCCGGAAAACTCGACTGCGCTTGAGGCTGTGGAAACACTGCGTTACTCCCCTCCTGGACGACCACTTCCAGTGCTTGCCTTGCGAAGCAAACAACTCACCAGGTGGGCGGGCACAGGTCCGGGCTACTCTGGCGCTGCCTGGGCGCTGTTGCATACAACCTTCCCCCCGGGCTCGAGGCGGCAGGCGTTCTCCTCTCCCTGCCTTCCTTCGTCCTCGATGACGTTCCTGTTCCCTCCTTCGCTCTCGACGACGACGCCCTGTTCCCCGAGTGACTGCGAGACTCGTGAGATGCCTTCGGAACGCTCGTGGCAGGAAAAGCACCAGCAGTCGCCCGAGAGTGCGCCGGGCTACTGCTCGCCGGCGCCGGCGCCGGCGCCTGCGTGGTGGGCGCGGCGGTCGTAGCGTGCCCGTCTGAGCCCTCCCGTTGACTGCGACGAGATGACGAGGACGACGTCGTCGCCTTCGTGTCGCGCCTCCTGCTGCTGCTGCCGCTGCCGCCGACGCTCTTCCTGCTCGAAGACTCCCCGCCTTCTCCTCGTGACGATCGGGACTTTCTCCTGCTGCTGCCGCCGCCGCCGCCGCCACTGGGAGAAGAACGCCCACCCACCCCCGTGGCGTCTTCGCCCCTCTTGCGGTGCCTCTCGCGCCGCGCGGACGGCGACCGCCCGCCCCCTCCCTCACCGTTCTCGGCGCGTACCCCCTCCTTCTTGGAGCGCCGTGGCCGGGCCGCCGCCGCCGTCGCGCTCCGAGACTCTCCCCCTCCGTGCTTGTTGGGGCTTTGTCCGTGGTCGCCGGGGCCCCTCGACGAGCACGAGCCGCCGCTAGACCTCCGGGGACCCCCGGCGTCCCCACCACCCTCGCCCGAGCCAGCCGCCGACGACGACGTAGCAGCAGCAGCAGACCGGGAGCTGCTGCCGCGCCGCGATGATCTTCGGCCCCTGCCGTCCACGTCGTCCGCCTTGGAGAATCCGGAGGGCCGGCGGGATACCCTAGCCACCGGGGATCGGACGCTCACGACTTGGCCCTTAGCCAGGCGGGCCGACTGGCGGCGGCCGCTTTCACGCGGTGGCTGTTTGTTGTTAGGCAGGCGTACGTCAGCATTGTGCAGCAGCAGCGAAAAGGCCAGGGGGGCGACACTATGAGGTGGGGGGCCAGGATGGCTTGGAAAACAGCGAGGTGAGCGTACATAGCAGGTACAAAAGGTGGAACTCAACAGTTAGGCCTTCAGGTGTATACTTTACTGAGCCAAGTCATGGATATCACCGGTTGATTCCCGAGAGCGGCTCTCCAAAGCTTTTCAAGGGCGCACCGACCATGCTCGAGAACACTGCACTTTTGTGGTTGCCTACAGTACCGTTGGAAGAGCTCCCAACACGCCGAAATAGCGCGCGCTTCGCGACACCCAGTTCTCCACTTACCGCGTGTCCGTTAACGTCGTCCCTGCCTTCTGCACGCGGGGGCGTCGGCATGACGGGGGACACCGCCCGTCCCCTCGCGTCATCCGCAGCAGCTTCTGCTGCCGCCGCCGCCCCCGCCGCCGCGCCCCCCGTCCCGTTGGTCGCGACAGGCTTCACCCTTCTCGACCCGCGGCTTGGCTGGGACTCCGCGTCAGACAGATCGGCCGCAGCGCTAGCGTTAGCGTTAACCCTTCTCGACTGAGGATTGCCATCAGCGTCCAGGTCAGACACCTCCAGCGTCTCGGCCGGCTTAGCCGCCGGGCTGATCGCTCTGCGCTGGCGTCGTTCTCCCCGGCGGCTGCTACGGCTGCCGACAGTCGTAGGGGAATCGGCGGTATTGCAGGTGTCGATCGACCCCTCGTCGTCGCCTAGGGAGGTCATGGACCTTGACCTGGCCATTTCCGCCTCGTGTTCCGTCTCGCGAAGCGCCTGGCGTGAGCGACGGTGCAACAAAACACACAGAAAAACGTTTTCGGATGCCAGGTAAGGTGCGCCAGCGCAAGAATCAACCCCGTCGTCCTAGCGGGAGAAAAAAAGTACGTAGTGCTCGCGAGCTCTATGGCGCGCGCGTGTTTTTTAGACCGGCGGACAGGAAGGCAGTGGAGTGTCCTCGCACGGTATGTCAAGACGCGAACGTGTTGACACCAAGCTCGTGATACGCGGTGTGTCAGCCAAGGGCAGACATCATCCTGTCTAACAAAGCCATTCCTCACCTCCCTAGCCTTCTCGATCAATCTCCCCTGCTTGGCGCTTTTGACCTTGGTCGCCTAGTGGGCATTCCCCGAAAAAGCACACAAGGACGGGCGAGGGGAAATGCGTAAGGAAGAAACATCCGCTGAGAAAAACTATTAATAAGCACGGCACGAACACGTCCACCACCACCATCCAACAAGACGCACCCTCCGTCGCATCATCCATCATCCCCGACTGATACTCCCGCCGCTGGCCTGCCCACACTGCTGTGAGACAAAAAGCTCACGCTATCAATATATTGCCAATACCCTAGAGCCTATTCTATGGATGGAGATGGATTTATTGTGATATCTTTACCAATCCTAGAGCCTTATCTTATCTATGGATAGAGATGGATTATTGTGATGTCATTTCCAATCCTAGAGCCTTATCTATGGATAGTTGTGGATATTGTCATGTATTAAATAAAACTGTGTCCGCGTTCCACGCACCTGCCAGGCGAGTACGTCAGCGGCACCATTCGAAAACACGCGGGGCGATGTCTCCCCGGGGGGAGCATCGCCCTCCCTGCTCCGACGTCTCCGTCTCGTGGCAGAACTCGGCCGGCTCCCACTACGAGTGCTGCGGCGCGCAAGGATGGCACATGAGCAACGGTGGGAGGAGATGACGTTGTCAGGACATTCAAATGCCTCTGCGTTATGGCTGCATAAGAGGCAGAAGCGTTTTCTTATAGACACGGCTGCATGGCCCGGCCCACGTCCACTATTAGTATATTTATTTTTGTCTTCACTTCAAATCAGCGCTCACAGCACTAGTGCCGTTTTACTCCAACCCGTGGTCACACAGAAGGGCCCCTCTCTACCCTCCCCTCCTGGGGTACGTTGCCATCAAAAATGGGAAAGAATTTGAATCCAATGGAAACCATGGATAAAAAAACCCGGCGGGATGTAGGAAGCGGGGCGTTCGTTCATGGCAACGCGATTCCGGCCATCCTGCCGCAAATGTTCATTTCACATCCAAAACCAGCAGCGTGATGCAACACCACGCATGGAACGCTGACTCACGTCGAGATCTGGATGCAAAATCCAAGGTTTGTTCGGCATGTGCAACACCCGAAGGGACCAAACAACACACACGCAAAAAAAAAAAGGCATAGCTAGACAACAACCACTTGTCGCTCGCTTGTCGAGCGCTTACCCGTCGACACGGGCGCCATCCGACGAACTCATCGCGGTGCCTGCTGCCGGCGCAGCGCTATCTGAGCCGCGATTTCGCGCCGTTGTCCGCTGATGATGCACGCCAGGCTGAACCTGCGCCGCGCTTGGCGCCGACATTATCTTCCTCTCCTTGGTAGACCCCTTAGTGCTTGCCGTCTCTCCGCGAGGAGGCATCATCATCTTCCTTTCCCGGGTAGGCGCCGCGGTATCCCCCCCGCCGCCGCCTCGATCCCTGCTGCCGGAGGTTGAAAACACGTCCCGCCTGGCCGGCGTACGGTTGGACACGCCAAGACCCATCGCCGACTCGGAAGACCTGAGGGAGTTGCGGGTCGTCGAAGGCGTGGTTACGCCCAGCCGGACGGAGCTGAGGCCGGCCGCCGCAGCCGCCGTGCTCATCTCCTGCGGCTTGCCTACGTCTTCTTCCGTGCCGTCCTCAACGCGGGCCTGCGCACGAGACCTGTCGAGAAGGGAGGGAGAAGGTGCGTGCGGTTGGAAGGTCTAGCATGAAAACAGCCGTAAAGCAGGGTGGCACCGGTGGCCTCCCATAAGCAAGCAGAGGTGAACCAGCAGCGATTTCCGTTCTGGTTGGGGGAGGGAGGAAGGAGCGGAGTGCGTAACATGACGACAGCAGTAGAACCGGTGGCCTCCCAAAAGCATGCAGAGTCAAAAAACAGCAGCGATTTCCATTCTCAAGACACAGAACTTGGTCGTGACCGGGGTTTGCGCTGCGTCGAAACTCTCCGCCTGGATTTCTGTTGGCTTCGAACGCACAACACACACAGAGGCCCTAGCACGGGGCTTACCGGAGCATTTTCTCCCAGGAGGGATCCAACCCTTCCCAGAGCTTGAGCCCCTGACTTGTCTCCGGGTTGTTCACCAGCCCCATCAAGTAGACCTGACCGCGCACCGCACAACCACCCACAATCGAAAACAGGGGGTTGGAATACTGCGGATGGGGCACCGTAGAGCTACGCGAAACCTACCTGATGTAGTCTCGGCCGAGCCTTCGATAGCAAACGCTACGGTCCCTTGTTATGTGGGATAGACAACAGCAAGACCTGAGCGCCACGTTCAACGACGAGAAAGATTACATGGGGTGTCCTTGACCAACACAAAAGGAAACGCTCTGGCCGGGATTACCCCACCGTGCGGCAACACCTACACACTCACCACGATGCCCTCGTACTGGTGGCGACACGCCTCGTGAAACGGAGTGTCCTGCACCGCGAAGAGAAGAAAAGCAAAAGGGAACCAAGGGGAACAACAAAGGAGCATGAGGAATATACTTTTCACATCGCCCGCGAAGCGAGCGGTGAACATCGAGTGCCCACACCACCGCGTGTGAGGAAAGAACCATGAGGAAGCACCTGTGCAGGAGTGGGACGGGTACTTTCTAGAACGGGGGAATAGGACAGCAGAGGAGGCGAGGACAACACTTCAACCAGCTTTATAGTAAGCGAATCGGAAGCCTATCACTGCCCCAATCGGAAGGTGGCGCCGCCAGACGTCCTAGGATATGGGCGGACAAAACTACACAAACCTCTAGAGAAAACCCATCGATGAGATTCTTCCCGCCGAGAAATCGTGAACAGGTTTCACGGACGGTGTTTCACAATCCATATTGGCATGTGTTTGCAAGATACTAACTTTGCTGAGCTGGAGAAGGCGGCGTGTAGAGTCCAAAGCATAAAAATATCAGCGTCTGTTCTACTAAGTGATCATCAGGACGGCGCTGGCGACGAAGCGGTCGTACGGACAAGTACATGATGGCATCCTCCCGGCGAACAGCCTCAGCACATAGCCCATGTCGCGTTGTCAAGTACACGATATCAACACCACCACGTCTCCCCCCGAGGTCCTTCCTCACCTCAGCCGCGTCCTGGGCACCGGTGTCTGCCCCGCCTTGCACCAGCCTCTGCACCACGTCGATGTTCCCGCTAACGCACGCGGCGTGCAGCGGAGTCTGAGCGAACTCGTTCCTGATGTTAACGTTGGCCCCCGCGCGGATGAGATAGTCCGCCGATAGGGCCCTACCGTTCAGAGCGGCTTTGTGCAACGGCGCATCCCCCACGATGTTCTGCGCGTTGATGTTTGAGCCAGCCCGGAGAAGCAGCTCCAGCATCTGACGAGTTGTTTTGGTTTGCCAACCCGGAAGGAGAAACAAAAACAGCGCGGCGTCACAGCACCATGGTTGTGGTCAGCGATCTCATGCGGAACACTCCAGTGAGGAGCGCTAGTTGAATGCACATGTAGGCAAGCGGAATTCCCTCCAACGATCGGCCTGAATGTGGGCGCAAAGCTCACGCGTGGTCTGTTGTATTCTTGTGAAGAAGTCGCTTGGCGGGGTGTCCAGTGCGTCGGGTGCGGAGGAACCCCCTGAGCAGCAATACTTGATTGGCCAAACTTCTTTCTCGCCGTCAAGACACCACCACGTGTGCGAGACCACGCTGTTACGGGACAGGATACTCGTTGAAGAGCTCGATTGGTGCCTCCCAAACAAATAACTCCGCCCGCCACATGGTGGGGTTAATACAAGCAGTCAGTTTTCACGTCTTGCTGTGACACGCTGTAAAGGAGGTGGTATGACGGCAGCAGAGGCGACATGGACACGATCACTCACCTGGCGTGTCACGATTTTGGCTTCAAAACCGAAATTTCTCGGCGAAATTCTCCCCAGGCTTTCCACTACCATTATTTAGTCGTCCCATGCTTGTGCACAGACACCGCAGGCGCAGAAAGTCCGACGCCTTGACTACTGGTGGAAAAGGCGAGGGTCATCTACATTTACCACGTTCGTAGCGTAGACATCGTTTTTCGTGCTGGGATTATCCTACTTATGTGTGTTGTCAGCTCGTTCTATCCATGCGACTTCGTTTCTCAGCCGAACATGTCAGCACGAAAAAGTGTCTTCTACATACGACAATGCATACAATAGCCTGTCCAGGATTCGACAGGCGACTGAGGCCAGGCTTACATGCACGACTTGCTGACTCGGGTGTGGGTAGCCTAATGTATTTTTGTCCTTTGACATCAATTGTAAATCCTCTGTCCGAGTTTCCCAGTACTGCTCAAGGATACAACACTGAAATGGACCATTCGATTTACTATTACTGTCAGGTTTGTGTATGTGCAAACAGCTGGACTGCGTCGACCGTTCACAGAATAAGCGCAACCAACTTTGAATGTTCCGTATCGAAAACTTGGTGTAGCAAGGGGATGGAAGAAGCAGCAGCAGCAGCAGCAAGCAGTGCAGCAGCAAATGAATTCGTAGCAGCAAACAGCATTTTCGCGAACAAAGGCCGTAATTTTCCTGGTGTTCACAGCACGCCACGAGTAAACAAAGGTCTTGCCAAAACGTGAAGATACCCCGCGCTCGCTCATGAGCAGTACACCACAGCAGGCTTCACCAAATACGGAATACTCCGGCAGGTGCCGGAAAATAGGATTCAAGTCTACCCATTTGGCGACGTTTGACGCAAGACGAAATAATTTTCCAACCCAGCCTGATGATGAATAATGTTTCTGTACATATGTCACGTACCTCGAGAGGGCCGCCCTCGCCCATTTGGCGGCGGGTAAGCTTCTTCCCAACCTTGCGTCGATCTTTCCCCACCCCCCTGCCCTTCCGCCGTTTGCCTTTGCTCGAGTCCCCGTTGTCGCGTATGTACGCACAGGCCTTCAACAATAAAACCGCCACCGGGATGTAATGACAGAAAGGGGACGACAGGATGAGGTATGTAACCGGACAGCACCGCAAACTGCAAAAAACCACCTCGGAATATGAACACACGTGCAAAACCGTTCTGACAGAGCAGGGCGAGGTCGGCAGACGACGGCTACACACCCTTTCCCGCAGGTCTCGCATCACGCACGAATCGTAAATACACAAACATACTTGGATCGCACCTTATGGTAGACGGATATCAGCAGGGAAGGAGAGGGTGGGAATTTTATATCATTATTCTGCGGATAGCCCATGAGCCAGCAGAGGATGACACCACATGTATGCACGTGTGTATGCACTAAAGCTCCCAAACGGCGGTTTGGCTGAAATAGAAGAAAACATGCACTTCGGAGTAGTAAGAAATACAGGCCGGTGGATGATGTCCGACACAGCAGTACAGCAGTACTACTGTAGTGTGCGATGCACTATCTCCACCAATGGCTCTACCAAACCAAAGGCAACAACAACGACGGCTGCATCGATGCGCAGCACCTAATAAAGTACAAATGTGGGCAGGTTTTTTGGTCATCGTCATCAACTCCCCACACAAAAAACGTAGATTCTGTGTTCCTCACCCGCCCCTTTGCACGCCCCCGGCAAACCTCTGACCCAAACCACATCCTACCTCGTGCAGAGGTGTATCCCCGAGCTTGTTGGGCTTGTTCACATCCCCCCCCTGCTGCACATACTTTTCCATCTGATTGTGGTATGACACCACACGACGAACGGGAGAAAGAGAGAGAGCGTTAGGGGCAGCAGACGCCGACACAACAACAAACACATGGCAAACAAAATCGAAAAAAAATCATCGTAGATTTGGTGTCAGCGTACGTTCGGTGTGCGGCTTCCGCAAACACGCCAAAAGATGCATACCATCTTGGAAAGAAGATGTGTCGAGCGGGAATTTAACATGATATGTCGCCACCTTTTCTGCTTGCAAGGGAGAGCAATGCTACCTGCGCCTACCAGAGGGCACTGACACACGCAGCACAGGCGCAAACCAAACCGCTCTTACCAAGACGGAATATTAATCTGTCGCACCGCACTCTCTCTTCTCTCTTCTTCCGATCACAAAAAGACGGTCGTCTCACCTTTGCGAGACGATTCTTAGCAGCGGCGTCATGAGGATTCGCGAGCCCAGACACGGTGTGCTTGAGCCACCTCATCGATTCCCCCGCCAGGGGCTGACACCCCACCACCATGGCTCCGAAATTGCGTCGCCGGCCCCTGCCCTGTACAGGGGACGACTGCAAAAATTAAGAGAAGAAGTTCTCTTCCACCCTCTTTCAGGAAAAATCCTATTCTCCTATTCTGAGGATCAAAGACGACGCTCGCGCCGTGATGGCGCTGACAGCGAGAGAGGCGGAGCGGAGCCAGGGCAGAGAGAGTCGTTGCGACGACGACCGCGATGACGATGATGCCTTTGGCGAAGCGAACACCCACCCCGCGCCGTTCCACGGATGCGTGAAGCTGGAAGGGTCCTCAAACAGCAGCAGTAGCAGTACACAACTACGAACAGACACACCCCGGACAGAGGGAGAGAGGCAAGACAAACAAACAGCAGTTTGTTTGTTTTTTCTCGCGCTTCTTATTGTCTCCCTCTCCCGTTGATGAGCCGTGCCGCCCTCCCGCTGAGCCGACCGTGTGCGTGTATCGGGCAGACTTTCGCCGCGTGCGATGGGAGCGCCTAGCGGGTGTGGGACGATCCCCCTCCTGTCGGTCCACCGTTCAGTTCGTTCGTGGCCTTCAGTCAGGAGTCACTACCTGCTACTTGTAGCAGCCGGCAGGAATGTTGTGTGTCCGGCAGGAATTGTTGTCTGTTCGGGTATTTCAACACCCCCCGTTTATTCTATCCGCGTATCCCCTTGAGGAAGACAGTACACCACGCTGCCTTGCTGTGTACCGCGCAGCGGGGGTCTGCTCTGTGCTGGACTCAGGCGGTGATTTGAATGGGCTCAGACGGGAAGACGGAAGCCGTATCCTTACGGCTTGATGAAGAATCAAGGGAGGCATCAGAGGTGAGCAGGATGAAAATATTTTCTTTTTTTTTTGGAGTTGGAAAAGACTATTATACTGTTGTGCAAGAGAGGGAGACAATCTGTTGAAGATCAGCCAAAGCACAGCAGGGACTTGTATTAGACGATGTGATATGCCTACAGCACCAGCACTGCTGCAGTGCCGGCTAGAGAGTTGCTAGTTTACTCCTCACCGTTGGTATTTCTCATCCACAACGTGTTTGGTTGGCACACATACACCTGATCGCTCACACACAGCAGCGGATGAACCCTCTCCTCTCGCGCCAAGCAGGCATCCACCTTGCCATCAACGCCCGAACAACCGTCGCCAGCCTCCACCTCTGCCAGCACCGCAGCACCAGCCGGCGAGGGGGAGGGCGGGAGAATGAGCAGGACACGCCGACCTAAGCGGGGGCGCCGTGCAGCTGCCGCCGAGTCTCGCCAGCAGGGGTTGTCCCTGGGGATTGCCAACGCTTACTCCAACGGCGTCCGTTTCATGACTGCACCCGCGATTGTGATGCAGGTACTTGAAAAGCAGGGAGTGTTTCCATATGTCACATGTTCATCGCGGAGTGTCGACTTGATGGTGTTAATTACACGCAAGTTCGAGAGAGCCACGCAAGTTCTGGCGTATGTATCGAAGATCACTACTTCTTCGCTGCGGGCTTTGGTTGATAAATATAGCAATAGCGTACATACCGGCCGTTGCGTGTGAACATTCGTTGCCCTGATAAGTCTTGGACAATTCCGAGTTCGTGTACGGCAAGGAGTACAAGCTGGCTTTCTGAGTCCACTCTGCTACATTTATATAGCAAACCGCGTTGCGTTAAGCTTTTCCTTGTTTTGTATCTCATGTTGATCGAGAAATGGGAGTACGCCAGCCTCATCCCTAGGAACAAAGAACCACAGCAATAGCAATATGCAACGTCGAAGGGGGGTGTCTCGAACGCTCGTCCTTTGTGAAAAGACTCGTGCAACCACCGAGTCAGTCCTCTTCTTTGGCCCTGTTGTGGGTACAATACACGCAGCTGCGTGGAAGTGTCTTATGTGCCTTGTGGGGGGATATTCAGGGACTCGCTAATACGCTTGCCATGGCATTAGCTGCCCCTTCACCATGTTTGCACGCGCACGTGCCCCCCCACCCCCACCCACCCCTACCTGCTTCTCGCCTGCCTTCAGTTTTCAAGTCTTGCAGTTGCCTCCGGAGGGATGTGCCTAGTGGTGTCAGTGTTCTCGGGGTCAGCTCTGGTCTTCCTCGCAGTGATCGCGATAGGTAAGCTACGCGAAACGCTTCGGGTTGCGGGTGCACGGAACTACTGGACGGGTTTTGGTAGTGGTGGGGTTTTACGTGCGTGGAAAAGGAGAGGTGGGCATGTGATTGTACTAGAGCACAGCAGCCGGCTTTAAGCGGGAGTTGTTAAACTCAAGTAGTGATTTAGCTCTGTCGGGAACTATCGCAGTCCTTGCGTTTTGGAGGGCTTCATTTTACATGAAGTTTCGACACACGAGTACTCCATGTCAAACCAGTTTTCATGTCGATTGTCTCCAATCCCTCACGCCTCGAATGCCATTTGTGCGGCTGTGAGAAGCATACCAGCCATACACGTTGTGGAGATGAATTCAAAAGTACCGAAAAAGGCGGGGAGATAGTACCGGTCGGGGGGATGGCACCGGTCGGGGAGATGCCCCCGGGGTGCGCAAAAAAAAAGCAAGAACGTCATGATTTAATTCAATTTCCGCACCGGTGTCGGTGAGATCGCACCGGGTGCGATCTTCGCACCGGGTGCGATCTCACCAACCCCTGAACCCAAGATTGAGCTCTTCCTGAGTAGCCGCAAATGAGGTACATGATGGTACCTTTCATGTGGTAACGGTACTGTATCAGCGGAGCGCCACTCCTTCATGTATCGATGTACGGTAGTAGTTCATGCGGGTGTCTGTTGTATTGATTTAGTCGGTATGAACGTTGCAAACGGTACACTCAACCAAGCACCCAACCATAAGCCGCAACTTACCCCACCATACACAACGAAGTACGAAGTATATTGTCCTGCTGCGTACGTACTGGTACTCGTAGAAGTAGAAACACTGATACCGTGTGCACCGCGTCGTTTTTCGTCCTTGTGACATTTTATCCAAAGTCGCATTCAAACCCATGACCTCTCGCTGCATGGGAAGCTGCTACGTGCTACTAGCTTCCGTTTCCGTTACCGGTGCGCTCCCAGCCAGCAGCATCGGTACCCACACCGCACACGTCTGCTTATAGATACATACAAGAGGCGGAGAGATGGCACCGGGGTGCGTGCATATAACACCGCCGAGTACCAGTAGGCCCGTGTGCATATTTCATTGGGCATCGCACCGGTCGGAGAGATTACACCGGGGTGCCTTCAAAAAGCTAAACACAATCATCCATTGATTTCTTATGCACCGGCTAAACGAAGCGGCTTAGTTGCATTTCCCCGCACCGGGGTCGGAGAGATGGCACCGGGGTGCGAAAAAACCCCGAGAAAAAAACATCAACATTCAAAATGCGATCGCACACCGTGTCATCTCTCCTCGTTTATCTGCACCAGCCAAACACATTTTCGGAGATGAATTTAACGTAGATGCCGCCTAACTTCGCTAGTATGGGTTTGTATGTTGTCTGAGGCCTGCGAGGAGCGCTCACTACACGTTGGACCTCTACGCGGGTCGCCTTCGCCCCCCCCAATTTGCGTGACTGGCAACATCGCCTTCAAAGGTGTTTGCGGCATGTGCTACAGCGTTCGACAACGGGGAGCGCTCGAGTACCTTCCCAGGTGCGTGACTGGGGCTATAGACTGCCGAATGTTTATAAACATCCCCAACTGAAGTCTACAAAGCACAGCAGTGCGTGGAGTCTACTGGCCTGGGGAATGTGGCGTACGGAGTACCATGCCATGGTCGAGCCCCCTCGGGGTTCCTTCCCGACAAAATGGCCGCAAGATGTTGCCAAAGGAAGAGCTGCGTCAGAAAGAATGCGTCAATTTAGCTCCCTCTTCACTTGCAAGTTGATAGATGATACATTGCATCCTCAACGGCACTGAAGCGAACGCCTTGGCTTCGTCTTCCATGGGTTGTTGCTTGCAGCGGCGTGACGGAGCTCTTAACGCGAACCACGCTACTGGAGTTCCTGACCGACACGAGGTGCGAACGTGGCTGAACGTTGGGTCCAGAGCGGGCGTGTGTTGGACCGCCTACGCAGGGTTCAAAGAGTATCTAGAAAAAGAGTAGGGGGGGGGCACGCAGACCCTATTCCTATCGCTAACCCTAACCCTAACCCCAAAGCACGGATTAAATACCTTATCCATATGCTTGCTTAATCAATTTTGCCGCGCAGACTACTGCGTGTGTTGCACGCGACATACCGTACAAGTACGTATTTAGCAGTTTTGTGTTTGCTGTGGCGGTAAAGACGTGTCACGAGACGAGGGAAGATTGCGACCTCCAGGCCTGCTAAACGACCGCGGTACGAGTTGCCACGGCGTTGTGGCCCTTTTCTACGGCGTGCTGATTTGTTGTATCCCTCCCAATTGAAACCGCCTTCTATAGCGATTGGACGACCCGCGGGTTGACTGATTGCCACGCAGATTGGCTTCGCACTTCTTTCCCCGAGAGTATTCACGCCAAAACTTGCCATCAAATCAAACAGGCCTCGTGCATCCGCAGCACAATAATGATAATGTTGCCAAGTCTCACCTACCATGTATTTCGGTATGCCCCGCCCCGCCCCCGGCAGTGTATTCGATGCGATCAAGACCTACCTGGTGTTCATGATGGGCCTCAGCGAAGACGAGGTGGGGGCAACGACCACTTGATCTTGTGGAGTTTGTGCATTGCGCTGTTCAACAGCAGCAGCTGAGCAGTGGACTCCTTTGAGTGTATGCAGCGGGCACCAGTGCCATATAGTGCGTAAATACTTGATGACAGCTAGCCCACAGCATTGTCTGTTCGGGGACTGCTGCACGCACATTCGATTTTGTTTCGTCCAAGGACGCGCTTCCACACCTCAACCGCCGCACGCCCTTTCCTTTGAATTTTTGTCCACCAGACGCAAGGAGTGCTTGCCTCCTTGCCGGAGGACATGCAGTACACGCTCACTCGTCCGGGGATAATGCACACCCTCCCCCGACCCTTCCAAGACCTCCTGCTTCCACCAAACGCAAGAGCGGGGGTACTGATAGGCGCACCGGATGGGCGAGAGGTTATCGGGCCTAGGCGACGCCACCGGGGGGTGGAAACCCAAGGACTTGCGGAAGCAGGGGGTGCTGCTGCCTCACGGGCAAATGAAGGAGGTGAGGCTTTCAATGGTTTCGGCCCGTACCGGTGCGTTGCGCCGCAAATTTAAGGGGCGCAGGGGGGGGGGGGGAGGCGAGATCGGGGATGACGGTTGACGCCATTGTTAGACCCGGCCAGTGAGCACAAGCGGATCTCCATCCTCTCCAAACTGACCTTGAGACCACACGTGTTGTGTCAGGCCTTGATTATAGTCCGTGGGATTGAAGATTGTGTGTGTGTGTGTGTGTGTGTGTTTTTTTTAAGCGGTTCTTCTCGTGTCTGCTCCACAGGTCAGCAGCAGCATCAGCAGCAGCAGCGGCATAGAGATGGAGAAGAGGGGGGAGCCCCGGTGTTGGGGCAGCTCGTGTGGAACCCGTTGCCCGCAAGCCTTGGGCAAGAAACGACGAATGGTGAAGAACAAGAGGGAGAAGGAGAAGAACATGTTTTCCCTCAAGAAGAAGAGCTCGACCGGGCTGGCGGCGATGCCAGCAGCAGCGTTGACTCGGAGGAGGAGAGGGGCAGGAGCGCTAGCCGCCACGCGGACGATGGCGGGAGGGCAAGAAGGAACGGTGTTGACGATGACGGTCGCGACGATAACGCCACCCGCCGGCGACCGTGGGAAGCAGAGGCTTACCCTCCTCATGCGTCCCGCTCGCTGTCACCAGCGGCCGTGCGCAACCGCGCGGCTACGGACGTGGCAGAGGCAGACGGAGCGCGGTCGTCTAGACGGGTGTCGTCGGCTCTGCCGATACCGGCCAGGAGACTTGGGACCGCCGGATGGTTCGGAAGGACACACGCCAATGGCAGTGGAAACCCCCCCGGGCCGGCGGCGACGACGGCGGGCGGTATGGTGCCTAGCGCGGAAAGGCTTGTGGCTTCAATTTTGCAGGTAAAGCTCGGAAAGTGGGCCTCGCCGCAGCTGCAGCTCCTTTCTTCAGCTTGTAAAGGGTACTGCTTGAGACCTTATAGCTTTTGCAACCCCTGCAGCGTCTACCCGGGCCGGACTATCGATTTGATTGGTTTCGTGATCGAGATGCCACCTCCCGTAAAACGGGAAATAAACATACCCCATGACGGTCCTGTTATGTTGCGCTTTTGTCCGCCTCCCTCGCACCCATCACCAGGCTGTACTTGTCCGCGTAACAGGTAGATGTCACGTTTCGGTCCCCGCAGAGATATTTGCACGCATGCATGTTATCTCACTGCTCCCTTGGGAGTGGGCTGGGCTGCAACCACCTCCCCCCGGGAGAACCTTGGATCAATGTGTGATGATGCAACAGCCGAGCTGAGAGATTTCCCCTATCCCCAACTGACACTTGCGCGAATTACTTTTGCCGTCACGCCGTTGCGAATTACTTGTTTCTTCTGCGTTGTTGGGGTGCCGGTGTTACAGCGCCGTGTGGACGGTGCCGTCAGAACGGCGTGGAACGCGGTGGACGAGCAGGGCGTGAGGTGCGGTTCAACATTTTTTTTGTTTTCGACGTTGCGATTGTGTTTTGCAAGGTGGGGGTTGTCAACGAGTTTGTGCCGCCCGCGCCTCCGTTCGGCTTCGAACGTTCCCGCTTTTTTGTCTGTTGGTTGGTTCGGCATCGGGTCGTCCTTGTCTCTGCGCAGCTCCAAAGAATATCAAGTCCGTCAAAAATGTAGGTATAGTGCTGTGTGCACCTGGAAGAAAATGCGTCGTTCCCTCTGCTCAGTCATTTTTTTGGCATGCTGTTTCGTGCTGTGCCTGCCACACGTGTTTGCGAAACCAGGCGTGCAGCGCTCGGCTCTGGGATTGCGCTCGCGGCCCACGTGGCTTTTTCCGAGAGGGCTAGGCGGCAGGTGAGCTCACCCTGATATCGGCGGGCAGCCGATAGTGCTAACCGCGAAGGTACATCTGGCGCTCCCTTTAGACACGTGCCCACAAAGATCTATGCATACCTGCAAATTAAGGGTCACACTACAGTCGACAAAGTTTCACTGATTCTCTAATATGTCTCGGTAGCCCCAGGGTATTGTTCCGAGCCACATCCGACGCAAAGTTTGCGTGCCTCCTCCACCGACCTGCCAGGCCGGGTCGATGCTTCGAGGGAGCCTCTTGGCCGCCCTTGCCGGTACCGCGACGGTTTGCGCCAGCCTCGCGTACCTCAAGCCGGGAGAAGGTGGGCGTGAACGGACCGCTAGCAGCAGCGCCTCCTCCGACAGCGATGCGCAAGTGGAGGCAGAAGAGGAAGAGCCGGGTGCTGATGTTGTTGATCCCTCCCCTACCCAGGGTCCCCGTCGGGAAAGGGGGCAAGACACGTTGTCGCGAATACGGGGGTTTCGGGACGGCCTGCAACGGTGGATGACGGGGGTTTCCCCGACCACGAGAAACATGGTGAGAGACAATTGCACTACATGTACTTCCTCTGGATGATATGGTTATGGGATACAGGCCATTCGTTTCCAGCGGAGGGGCATACGACGCTGTCGTTTGGTCGAAAAGACAAAACTATCCAAATTATCATGAGACAAAATCAAATTTGTGGGCGACATTTGTTCTATTTAGCACATATGCATAGTTTCGGGTCAGAAATGACCTACTTTGGCCAGGTTTGATGGCCGTTTTTTTGCGAGTTTTGGTGGTTTTCGCCTTTTTCGTGGAAGGATATTTACGTTATCTCTTGCGCAGCAGTGAGTTTATTTTTGCGTTGTGTCACGTATAAAGAGCCGTTGAAATGCAGGCTCGTATGATAAATTACGATTTACTGCAATGTATTTTGCAGTGTTGCTAGTACTGCTGTCCCCTCTTTCCTCGCCTTACTCGTTTTATTTGACTCTTTTTGCTTCGGGGTGCACGGCATCACTTTTTATTCGCCAAAAGCTCTCATTTTTACACAGCTCATCCTCATCCTCCGTGCCTGTCGCCGGCCTTTCGCAGGTCCACCTTCTGAGCATGATCTGCCTTCTGCTCGCTGTGCGCAAGTGGCAGTTGCTGAGGCGTGCAGCTCGTCGAGCGATGATGCCCCGGACTATGTACGGCGCGACACTACCATCGTGAACGTGTACAGCTGCGTCGCGTGCGGTAGTACTTCTGCTGCCCGGAGACAAACTTTATTGCGATTGAACGCGGCTAGCACCTCTTCCCCAAGACGACTGCTGTGTGTTCTAGGTTGGATGCTCTATATCTAGAAGCATTGGTTGCACTCTACGGTTGGTTGTTGTCTTTGTTGGTTTCAGTCATATTCGGAAAGAACGAGGTGGCACGATAAAAGGGTATATCGCTTAGAACTGTGTTAGTGGCGGCGTGTGGGCCAAATCTATTCGGTACCGTATGCTTTGAGGAATCGGGGGGGGGGGGGCTGAACCGATTTGGTGTTGCAAGCCCGTCCAGGATACAAGCTGATTTCGGCGCATCTATTTTTACAAATGTACAGGTAGTCGTGCACATTTAGTCTGCTGGCAGGACAACTCGCCGTTGGGGTGGTCGTTTCCGGGTGGTGTTTACTATTGGTACTGACACTCGTGCTCAGCACACAATTGTGGGGCCTTTGGCCGACACCCTCTCGGACTTGATTTTTGATGCGTTTCGTGCTTGACAGCTGCCCAGACCTGGCACGGACGCGCGGTTACACCACACGTTGGACACACACGATATGTACACAGAACATGAATTTACGGCTTCGGCATGATGTTTACACCACACGGTGATCACGGGCTCTCCGTGAAACGTACATGCCCGCATGTTAATTCTGCGCCATGTCACTTCACTGGTAGGGTCCCTGTGCTTGTCATGGTACTACAGCAGTAGAGGCCGCGAAACCGATCGAGTTCTCTCTACAACAAGGGGTTGCTAGTGACACGGTGACACGGAGAAGGGCTGCGGAAAGCGATCTCTTTCTGAGATACATGTGGTTTGCTCCTGACTGAAAGGAGTACATAACATGCTGTGAAGAGAGGGATGGCGGTGGAGGTGAGACGTCCAAACGAACTACACATGTAGTCTACAGCAGTGGAAACATACACGCTCCGCAGTGAAGACTACTACTTACTACTGCTGTACAGCGTAAGACATTATTTACTTGTACTGTGTCTGGTACATGGACGTTTTCTACATACCACGAAATACAGAGAGATCGTTTGAAAGTTTCTGTACTCGCTACTGCTGTAGCCGACGACACACAGACCACAATCCAAAATCGACAAGCATGTGGATGCGTGTGTAGTCCTACGAGCTCCATCGCATCTATGTGGATCCTGCCTGTGGGCTATTCGCGTGCATGCGCATGCCATCTCCGTTGACATTTTTTAGCAGATTTACCCGCCGAAGCAGGACATATATCGGTGGAACCCAAGCTATCGTACATTGCAACAACTTCTTACAGGGCCAGCACTCTGTACGTCATCTGTCCCCATCGCAATACAAACAACAGGACATCGCTCCGCACGCCACTCATCCGCAACATGCTGCTGCTACTGAAAGAACAGATGACCCATGTCTCGGCATTTGGAATACCACCGTTGGGTCTGCGCTGGTCCCGAGAGTTTGTCCGCTGCCGACCTCGAAACATGAGGAAAATATGTAACCCATGGTACGAGTCGTGAGTTTAATCTATGGTGCACAGTAGTGATATACTTTTGGATACGAAGACGCGCCCGATTGACGGGCTATACATAAGATGCGCGTGGTTTCACAATCAACCTAATCGGAAAATTAGCCATATTTTCAACATTGATTTTAGATTGTGTGGTTTTTTCCTTGTTCACATCAAGCCGGCATAGCTCAGTGGTAGAGCGGCACCTTCGTAAGGTGTAGGCCGAGAGTTCGATCCTCTCTGTCGGCTTCACAAGCTGAAGTTTTTCCATTCTATATTTTTTTCCCCGATTTTTTCTTGCTATCTCTGTCATCAGTCTCTGTCTCGCCTTTCTTTCGAGCAGCCTCCTCCCTTTCTTGCGGTATTCTCTCTTCGGTTGATTTGGTACGAATAGTACTGAAACGATTCATAAGGCAACATGTTTTCTGATTTAACCTTTTCTCACCCGGTTAAACTAATGTGTACTGTTTTTTGGGCCATCTGTGGCCATTATTTTTAGTTTCTTCTCCCTACTACATACGGAGTACTTTGTTTGGTACATCACTATTTTTCAGTTCGTCATGTTGAAAGACCTCTTTCTTGTGTTTTGATCACCCAACCAATCATTTGTCTATTAATTTTGTGACAATTGAAGTAGCCGGTGCGATGGTAGGGCACGTATGTAGGCGGATCGATTGTTGCCAGTTAGAACACAGGACAATGCGGGTCGGGCACGACGATATCGACCCTGCTTGAACTTGGTGGTTCGATGCCGCCACCAATGAAGATTACCCTCCTTCCTTTTGGTTTTTCTTCGATATTGCATTCCACGAAGAAATGATAATTTTGTTGGGCTTGAAACCAACAGAGGGCTTTTAAAAATCTTCGTATATACTCTGGAGAAAATAATACCACCAGTAGTTGCCGCAACACCTCTGAGCTCTCTCGCCAAAACATAACTGCTGCTTCATCACAGGCATCTCGTAAACCTCTCTCCTTTGCACAAAATCTAAGAGCAGCTAGCTCGCCCTTCGAGATACGACCTACCATAACCAATCGAACACATTCACCGAGTAAGTGCGACCACCTCCCCCTGAAATTGACACCAACCAAAGCTTGAAACCGTGCATGAAGTAAACGAGAAAGAAAGGTAAATAAAACACATGATAAAATATTTGTATCAAACCCAAACCGAAAACAACAGGGGCGACAATGCATATAGCCAAGCGAACTGGTGTCGGCTTCGTCCCAGCAGCGACACACACACACAAGAGACAGGAGACAAAAGACAACAAAAATAACAACTCCAAGTTCCGGCCACCATCAATTCCGTCCTCTCCCTCATGCGGCGGCCCTGTCCCATCACAAAAAACTCACCGAGTCGTAGCAGCCTACATGTAGAACGCCAAAAAATAGACCGTTTTTCAGTCAGTCGTCCTAACCACTACCTACCGGTGTGTGGGCTTGTCTTCGTCTCACCTCTCACCCTCCTTCTCCCCCCTGACTACAATAACAGGACAGGGCAGATACAATGACCCGATGGTAGAGAACACACCACTCATTCACTGAAACAGTTTCACTTGAGTTGTCCACGAGAACATACTTGCGGCTGGCAGTCCTTGCCCCCAGGGAGCAACTCCAAGGATTCTAACGATGCTGGGAAGAGGGGAGATCCGCACAACAGCACAAATAAAACACCTGAGCAAGGGTTTTGTCACCACAACGAACGAAGGCTTGAAGCAAAGGAGGAGAGGTAAGTACGGCAAGTTTGGGACACAGACTGGCGAGAAGATTCAGAGATTGACCTTTCTCTCTACTTCCTCTGGCGACCGACAGGAGAACTCAAGGCTGACGAAAAACGGAACAGACAACACTCACAGGTATCCGAACATTCATGTCCCTCTTGGGCCACCAGCCACAACCATCAACAACGGCGGCATGCAACACACAAGACCATCACATCCGACTACCACTGCTATAGACTCTTAAAGACGACATAGACCCACCAAACTAAAAAAGGGCTTAAATGATTGTTCCAGATACGTAGAATGCATAATCGACAACCCCCTGACGCCGATTCTTATTGCTTCTTTCCGAACAGAATACGCCGAAGGAATCTCAGGATGCCCCGCTTCTTCCTCGCCGGTCGCTGGCAACACCAAGCGAAGGACAGGCAACGCGGGGAGGGGCAAGGGGCGGATATCAGCACCTCTAATTTTGTTTTCGTCGTATACGTTTCATGTATGACTAACCGTTTCGACCTGGAAGCTTTGTTGTTTCCCTCGCCATTCAAAACTGCGGAGCAACGATGGTTTCGAGTCTCGTAACACCAATGACCAACAAAACAATCAAAAAGGAAAGTTCCAATACGCAAGACCTTGCTCGTCGCTTGCAGAAGTGTACCGACTACGTCTGTCTGTGTTTGTCAAGGAACGAATCTCTTGGGGGAAGCATCGTTCGTTCCCGTGGGCATTCTTGCACATTGCCGTGCGTGTCGTGAGAGTGTGTAGCGCTATCTCTGCCAGTCTCTCCGTTCCAGGTAGAAGAAGAGTGGAAAACTGACCCCAGTCGATCATCATACGGGAGGGCAGCGAACGCTCAAGTTATGCCGCTATGAATGCTAACTCTTCGGGTCGCCGGAAGGCGGCTAGGTCCCATTCCTGCGGGTGAGTCCGGTCGCCACCACCGCGCTAAGGCAGCGCTTTTTATTACGGTTTCTTTTTTTTTGCGGGTTTGCTTTCCAAAGAAATATCACTGACCAAACAAGCCCTTTTCACAGTATAACACAACTGGTGGGCATCACATAAGTACGCACACTGGCACGCCAACCACCATCGACACCGCCGTCGCCCCCTTCCGACAGCCGTTTTAGCCGCCACAGAACGATCGATCCAAACCCTCGCAATGCATTCCATTCCCACCTGATCTTTTTGGAACGAGTTTTTGCTTCCCTGGGCGGTGCCGAGAGACGGCGGCGGCGGTGGCGCTTTTTCCGGCTTGATTTGGTTGTACACCAGTTGCTCCTTGACGTAGCTCGCTGCTCGTCGGTCCATCGGGGGAGGGATTTTCATTTTCGCCATCATCGGCAGTAACATGGAGGAGGGGGGGGGGGGGGGGGTGTACTCATAGTCGTGCATGCCGTAGTCGTTTGACCATTGACCTCGCATCCCTACAAAGCCGGGACGGAGCACGCCGGCTTCTCACCGGACCAGGCTCTCACATCACCAAGCGCGAAGCGCCGTGAGGTATTTGGCGAGTCGCATGAAGGGTGAGCAGCATCCTGCTAAGGGTGTTCGGCATCTTGTGCTTACTTCCTTGCGTACGGATGACAGCTACGTATGACTTAATTTATTTTCTGGTGCTTTCACTTCCAGAGACAGTTGTAAGCACTGTGTAACTGCCTCGAGGATGCTTGACCATTTTAACACAACGTGGTACGATCATCCCCTGTTGCGCAGAGTGAGGTTTCTCGACCCCGCACAACATGATCTACTCGACCACCAATATGGTTACCGCCAAAAAAAAAAACGAGGTAAAAAAAAAAAAACGGTAACCTGGTTGCCGAGTTCACGAAGTGAATTGGCTTGTTTTACAACGTCGTTGCCAAGCGACGAAAACCCAACCCCGATGGCAAACACCGAGGGGGGGGCTTGTTCTACAACGTCGTTGCCAAGCGACGAAAACCCAACCCCGATGACAAACACCGGGGGGGGCGGCATGTTTTACAACGTCGTTGCCAAGCGACGAAAACCCAACCCCGATGGCAAACATCGGGGGGGGAGGTGGGGTGGGGGAAATGGCCACAGTAGGGTCAAAATCACAGCTAGCTGTACCATTAATCTGCTGGTGATATGTACACACCATGAACTCGCCTAGGTATCGAATAGCTCGGTTCCTTTGTCCGAGGTAGCGGGAAAGAAAACAACGTCGTTGTCGAGTAAAATACTCGAAAGTAGAAAAAAATATTATCACCATGATCGCTCGTTGCCATGGTGAAACATAGATCCGTGTTTTCGACACTTTCTCGAGGATGGATACACCTAAACACTGAACCTTGTCACCGACAAACTGATGCGCTCAGCAAAATAAGGAGCTTGTACTCTTCTACCACGCTCACCTGTGTACGAATAACCGGTCTCCCACTGCCAGGCATCCTGCCAATCGCAGAAGAATGCCAGCACAAGTGAGGGGCGAATTCGGGACAAACAACGATGGTTTTTATGGTGTTTGTTTTCCTGCAAACTTGCGGCGGAAAACGATTTATTTTTTCGTGAGTTATACACATCTATCTTGGCTTCACGGGAAAGGGACGGCTGAAACCTTTCAGCGATAACAACTAAGGAAAGTACCGCAGGAGGAGGTGGGGCAACAGGAAATATAAACGCGCCTGTGTGACCCCGGCTGATCCATCAAACATATACGCCGACAGGCGTGTGGACTGGCGTCAGGATAAATGAGACCAATACACTTGACACTGACACACACACGTCTTTGCATTGGGTCAGCCCGTTAGCGCGTACGATGACAATAACAAACAACACGCACACGGCACGCTTTTGCACCACAAAGGCTACTATGTACTGCAGTTCTTTCTGGGAAGTCATCGTGCGCACAACCACTGGTAACGATGCATGTACGCGGTGTCATGAAATAGTGAATCATGCCCGAAACATTGGCCTCGTCGCATAGTCTAGGGGAGGGTTACCTGGCAGCAGCACCAGCAGCACCAGCAGCACCAGCAGCAGAGGATCGGACACCGCGGCGGGTGTTCCCCTCCTCGAAACCAGTCGCCAAAACAGTAATCTGCAACTCTCCATCTAATTCATCGAGGGAGGGATGATTGAGAGAAACCGCATGTCCAAGGGTGTGCACAGTTAGGTTAGGGATAGGGATAGGGTTTGGGTTAGAGACCCTTGGGGGGGGGGGGGGGGGAAGGGCCAGGCACATACCTCCATTTTCTGCATACCACCTTCCTTCATTCAAAACATGACACAACGTTGCTCCTGACCCGCAGCGAGAACTCAAGTATTTTGCCGAGTTCAGTGCAGTGGGTCTGTCTGGTTCAGTTGCAGTGGGTCTGGGTGTGTTGTGGCTCGAATTTATCGTGGACTGGGGCAAAATACGAACACGCTCGCTGGCACAGCTTGGGTGGGTACCTCCGTGTGAGGGGGACACTCACTCGCGACATCCGCATCCACGAGGGCTCCGAAGATGATGTTGGCGTCGGGATCGACGTTTGCGTAGATGACGCTGGCCGCCTCGTTGATCTCCGAAACGGAGCCAAAGGCAATGCAGCGGGCGCAACACGAAACATTCATTGTGTTTTCAGATATGTTTGCGACAGGTATGGACAGCATGGTGGTTCGGTGTTTTAGGCCCGGGGTTGGAGAGGTCCGGGGTTGGAGAGGAGCGCGTTCCTGCCGACGGGTTGAGTACCCTGTTTCGTTTCGCAACAAGAACCTCAGGCGTGAAGTAGTTTGTACCCAACGTCCCTCAAGTTAGTGCAGTATATACCACACATGAAAAACCTCGGATGAGAGACCATGTAAAAATGCACTTGGAGAGCCTTAGAAGCCGAAATCAAACATCAGCCTAGTCATAGCTTTTTTAGGAGCCGGAATGAAATCTAGTCTTTAGACTATTCAGTGGTTGGCGAGTTTCATGGTTTGATTTCGGCTTCTGAAGAGCCAACCTACTCAACCAAATTAGCGCCTGAGATATATGTCAGAAAGTCATCAAGCGCATTGTTACGTTGGATCGAGCGGAGTGAGTGGGCCCTCCAACGACAAAGGCTTGATTCATACCGTTTTCATATCGTTAGACCCCATATGGTTGATTCTCGTGTCAGCTATAGCTGCGCCGAGAAATTATTAGTTGAACAGGAATTCGCAATGAGACCGGCGTTTGTCCGACAAAACTCGGCATCGATGGTGGGGTTTCCTTCGGCAACTCTTGACTGTTTGTAGTTCTCTATGTAGCAGGAACCTGTAACATGACAATGCTTCTCGTCGTAAATCGTCTCTCATACACATCTCATAGTATCAACATACTCCTCTACAGGACTGCCTCCTCACCTCCGCCAGCGTGAGGTCCGCGTCTCCAATGATGTTAAACACGATTCCCTGTGGAGAAAGGCAGAACAACCCCAACGTGTCCGAACGGAGACGCAACAGAAACGCGCACGCAAGGCAAAGCGCAACAAAATCACTGCTGCATGAGAAAGGAGGCATGAGTGTCTTCAACTGGACATCGACCGCCCCGGCAATGAAAAGAGATGAGGTTTTTAGCGGGATAAAAAAAAGAAAGATAAAACTTATAGTCTGCCGGACCCCCCTCCGCCCTGACAGGTAGGGGGGCTGCGGAGGGGATTGAATGGTGAAATGTTGACAAGGGTGAACGTCAGCAACGCTAGCCTTCGATGAACCAAAGCTCTGCTTATTAAAATGAAACAAGGCCTAACACGCTGAGTGTTCGATACATTTTCCCCCTGTCGTAGATAGAGGCGAAAAAAATGCCCCTTTGGCAGAAGATGGCAACCCTGTCGCGGGTAGGTAGAGACGAAAAAATTGCCCCTTTGGCAGAAGACGGCAAAACAAACATCGCCAAGAGACGTACCATGAGGATTGGGGCGAACGCCTCTCAGAAGTCGAACGCCCCTGGACACCAAAAATAACCAAACACGCCAAAAATGGATCGAATGCCCCCGGGGCATAATTTTGAAATTGGCCCATGTCGTTTTGTCCTTCTCGTGTGTCTGCGTTGGCTCTGTCCTTAGCGGTAGAGAAACCTAGCTGCCCCAGCGCCAGAACACGGAAAGGCAGGGAGACAAACCTACACGGAGAACAGTGGGTAATTTGTTTACTATAATCTATCTTGTTCTGTCTCCCCTTTTACCTATGCATACCTTACCTTTGCGTCGGTCACCGGGAAGTCGAGCAGCGGGGATTCGATCGCCGCTCTTGCAGCCTCGGCAGCCCTGCGGTCATGACCACACGGTCAGCATGAAAAAAGCACCACAAGAAGGAGATGGGGGGGGGGGAGGGGGGCGTACTCTTATGTTTAGCATGCCTTAGCGGTTGGAACGTTGACCACGCGTCCTCGAGAGGACGGAGCGTTGTTCCCACAGGGCCGATCACCGATGGCCAATCCTTCCTTTCTACTTTGCCAAAGGTAGATAGCTCAAAAATGTCTTCCCTATCCTAGCTATCCTATCGATATCACGTCCCGCCCATTCAGCCCATGTCTTATGGAAGGAGACGGCAGTGGGGGGATAAAGCGAAGGACCTCTCTTCGCATGCCGTGTCAACTCCATCCTTGTGTTCGATCTATGGCGGTATATGCCGTGCAACATAGATGCCTTCGCAAGAGAAGCAACATGCACAGCAGTCGCCGTACTGGTTGTCTTGAATAGTGAGCACTCACTCACCTGTTCTTTCCCTTGGCCTTTCCGAGTCCCATCAGGGCCGTCCCGGCCTTGTTCATCACAGACCTGTAGCATCGCAAAGGCACACGCGGAGGGTCAACACGACAGGGCATGGTCACGGGACCCACGGTATGGACACGCACGCAACAAGAAACAGACAGACAGACACTACCGCGCTATCACCATGAACCTGCTGCTCCATACAAACAAATGACGTGGTTGCAGACCTGCGAGCGTGCGCACAATGCATGCACAAGACGAACAAGCAGGACTTTCATCACAGACGGTTTCAGCACACAGCTACACACATAGGCGCACTTTGTGTTAGTCAGCAAGACGGCGGGGTCGAAGTCACCACGAGCAGCGCATCAACAACAGAGGGGTCGGTGTGCCATGCCACGCCGACATGACCTGGTACGCCAGCATCCAAAATGACCTAGTGCAGCGTCAGAAATCTCCCCCATCTCTACCCAGTCATTGAATACCTGACATCGGCGAAATCAACGTTGACCAATCCGGGCTTGATGATGATCTCCGAAATTCCCACCACGCCCTGCCTGAGAATGTCGTCCGCTACGAGAAACGCATCTTGCACGGGGGTGTCTTCAGGTACGATCTGCAAGGAGTTGGCCGGTGGTGTGCGATCCCGAAATAACCCCATCAAAGGAACGGCACAGCGTTTGTACCGAGGTATCTGGAAGGTGATCGGACAACAGCAACTTTTACCGACACACACGGTCTACGGCTGCGGGTCCATCGATCTGGCCAAGTTAGCTAATCGAGAGGATCACGCTCGTTATTCTTATGACGCCATGTCAAAGTGCGGCATGGAACAGGAATCAAAAGAATCTCGATGTGGGGCGCGATGACGCTCTTGCTAAGGCTCCGACACCCCCATCTTGCCTGCAAGAGCTTGTCGTTGGCGATGACGATCAGCGTGTCCACCTTTTCCCTCAGGAGCTCGATTCCCTCATTCGCCTACCCCGCACAGAAGACAGACAGACGAAACCCGATCAAGCACCAAGTTGACCATGAGAAAATTGTCGAGTCAATGATGCAAAGGCGAATGGCTTCACAGATAGCTGATATCAGAAACCTTTAAATTGGTCACAAAATGGACGCCACAATCACTTCAAGGTATCGAAATTATTTTGGGCGAGACGGTGGTTCCGTTGCATCAAACAAAAAATCGATAAATTCCGCCCAACACGACGAGGAAAAAAAACACCAAGACAACCTCCGAGTAAATACTGAGATGGAGATGGAGATGGAGCAACATCAACTACGACGGTCACCTAGCTAGCGCAATTGCCACATAACAGATCGCAAAATCACTTGAATCCATCCATAATTTCTTCAATCACCTGACTCATGCGCTTCCGGCCTTCAAACGCGAAAGGTTTAGTCACGACACCGACGGTCAAGCAGCCCTGAGAAGTACGATTTGCCGCACCAAGCGAGACGAGGGCATGTGATTCAGCGTGGAACGAACGGGCCATGTAACGGTCTACCGAACGGGCCATAGACCCGTCTACCGCACGGGCCGAACAAACAGACGGCCGCCTAGTCGGAAGAAACACAGGGAGGGCTCTCCGCAGCAGGCGTGGCTTGTCTTATGCTACCCGCACTCGAGATTGTTTAACGTCGGACACTGACACACGAAGTCTCTGAACCTTCCATCACGGACGTTGCATCAGCAGGAAACCTCCTTTTATCCCTGAACGGGCTTCTAAGATTGAAGCGGTGTAACTAGTTGCCGCGCATCGGAAGATGCGTTCAGGTCCTTATTGACCACGTTGTAAGAAGTTGGTGTTGACTTTTTTTTGCTCCATGACAAAATTGGAGAGACGGACGATACAAAATTGTTGTAACAATAGTGTTCATGTTGCTGCTTTCTGCTGCCAATACAACACGCCAAGCGCCGGGTAGGAACAAACCTACAATGGTAAGCCATATCGCAATTGCTCTCAGCATCGTGTTCAGATTCTGGGCTGGGCAGCTCGCTCTTCGGTTGCCACGTATGGGTACCAGCTAGGTCAACCGCCAGGACTCGCACACAACAGCGTAAGTTGCCCCGCCAACAACTAAACGGCCGCCGCCGTTAGGCACAACCCAACCGGACTCTATCCAGAGGAGACATCTCTGTGTTGAGGCGTCAATTCTGTGCGCCTTTCTAAAGGTTGACAAAAAGCGATGAGAGACACTGCAAGTGTAAAACCAGACGTAAACTGCTACTGTCAAAACAGGAATACTATTTCAGAGGACCACACCTGGTCCCTGGCAGCTTCTGCTACATACGGTGCCGCCCCAGAACCTGCGGCGACGGGACCCCCGACAACAGCGGCGAAAAACACAGCAGTGAGCACCGCCACGTCAGAGAGAGTCTTTGCTTCAAACACACTCAAACAACATGGGGGCCGTAATTTCCAGTCTAAGCTCTCACAACACGTGTCCAAAAAGTATCATGACCGTACGCCTGGCAAGAAGGGAACACTTTCGATCGAGAGACCAGATCAAAAAGGATCAATTACGACAAGATATCAACCTTATTAGACCGCTTCGGATGGGGCAGCAGATGGACTCCACTCTAGGTAGTTGCAGCGACAATCGAAGTATACGTTAAAAGGTGAAATCTCGGCGGTGCCTGTTTCTTATCTTTCGCCAACCGTACATGTACGATGACGGCTAAAAACGATGGCGATGAGCGGACAGGCAACTTTATTTCAGGAACAACTACAGCACAGCTTCCCGCGCTGTTTAGTCTCAAAGTGCGTGCCCTACAGAACCTGCCATTCTATCACTATTTGACAGGCAGAACCCACCGGTGCCGCCTCCCATCCCGCAGGTGACGAAGACCATGTCAGCACCCTGAACAACAAGCCCTGGCGGAAGGGTACAAGGGAGAAGCGATAGCAGCAAAATGGTAGACACAAAACAGAAAGAGCGGAGAGGGAGATATACGAAAGGCCAGTGGATGGTCGGTGCGATCGATCAGTATCAAGGTCGCACCATTCTTGTCATGCCCAACATTGGTTGCCGATGTTGGGCATTGTTGGAAATCAAGGTTCTAGTCATACTCGGGGCGTACAACCGCGAGGTCAAATGAGGTACAACTCAGGGTGGAGGGATGGGAGTCAAGGTTAAGGTTAACGGTTCCAGTACTCACGGAGGTCGTCCATGCTCTCCTCGGCAGCTTTCCGCCCCACGCTCGGCACGCCCCCCGCCCCCAACCCGCGAGTGACCGACTGCCCGATCGCTAGCTTCCCCGGGGCAAGGTTTCGGCTCAAAGCCTGAGCATCTGCAAGCCCCAAAATGAAACACATCGCCACAGACAGGGACAGGTCGGGTGGAGTTGGTGTGATTGGTCGGCTTGTCACGCCTGAGACAATCGGGGGGAAGGAGCACAGAGGATAGAACGCGACGCCACCAGCAGGCTGTGAGTATTTCCCGAGATGAGTGAAGGGGGTCATCTGGCCTTGCTATCCGCTGGGGATTCATGACAAATTCAGCTGTTGAATAGGAAAAATGTTGGTAACACCCCGCATCGCAGCGGAATACCGTATCCAACACAAGATGACACACCCCCTGGACCGAGTTTCAAAGCTTGACTACGCCACGACTACATAAGAGGATGCATAAACGAAACGATGCGTTATCGGAGAGCTCTCGACCAGACGGTTTCAACGCCGCCGTTTTCGGCGCTGCGACTCTTTCCGCTGTTGATAAGTCGACCTTTGAAATTCGGTCCAGGGGGTGTGTCATCCTATGTCGGAGTATACGGTAATGATAACCGTCTTACTTGGCTTTCAAATAATCAGCTGTTCCGTTCATCGTCGAAACAAACTCGCGAGACCATCGGAAATCAGTCGACAAGGCCTTTTGTCTCACCTGTGTTCAAGCTCCAGAACTCGACGCCGGCGATGCCCGTCTTCATACCAAGAGAGAGGTAGAGAGGGCAAGGATGAGAGAAAGAGTGACGCAAGACATCAAAAATACAAAAGAACGAACAAATAGAGGGGGGGGGAGAGAGCACAAAGCGTTTCCTGTCTGCACGGCCAGAAACACACGGCCAGAAGGGGACAGGATGGCGAGCAGCGTCTTCCAAACACTGCTTCGTACTGCTCAAAACACGCCTTATCGTGCCACCGCGTTCTGGCCAACGGATCGCCCCAATACACACCACAGCATCGACCAAGACATGAAAACAACAACGCTGTGATTTGCAGGCAGAAGACAGCAGTAAGCTGAACGAGGAAACAATAAAGGCACACGCCTGTGTTCCGTTGTTTGCTTCTTCTGTTGGTGCTACGTCGAGCATGAGACGGAACCGATACCCTCAGCAACCGTGTTGAAATCCTTCTGCATGACCTGCCGCGCGCCACGGGACACGTGCCAAAACCAACAACATGGAACCAGAACCAACACCAGTAGCAGCGCCTATCGGTATCATGAGCACGGGCATTAATGCCTACCTGGACCATGCGGTTGACGGCGTTCCCACCCCCTCCGCCGACCCCCACCACCTTCCGGCCGCCGACACACGGTGCAAGGTACACGAGAGGCAAAGAAAGGTACGGGCGTCGAGATCACACACCATCAAAGAAGAAGACGCAAGTGCACTGGTATACACACGCACACGCAAGATTAACCGACCGCTTATTTTCCCATCTCCTCCAAAGCGCGCGTCCATTGCTAGGTGTGAGCGATCGTACCCCTGCTGCCTGGGACAGCGTGTTGCACACCCTCTGAACTATATAGAATATAATATGGCACCCAAAATGTGAAGAACTCGACGTCCGGAAACAACGAGATGATGACACACAACCTAAACGCTGTGATACACACCTCCAATGCCCGCTAGGTGGAACAGGGAACACGCGCTCCCTCTCGGGCCGTGCCCAACACGTGTACAACATACCGAATGCAAGCCCGCAGCAGGTGTTTATGCGACTCGCCTTGATGGAGCATGGCGTGTTGCCGCCATCGGGCATGAGCTGTGCCGCATGCGGCTCGAAAGTGGTCGGCACCTTCAAGGAGACGAGCAAAATTCCAACGTTGAAAGACAGACACGGCAGGGAAGTAGGAGGAGGGTGAGTCCGATCGTAGGTCACGCGAAGAGCGATATAACCAGCCAGCCAGCCAGCCACATAGCTCACGTTCAAACAAAGCTCGCTAGAGCCGGAGAGCTGTGCCGACGCTGTGCGCTGGAGAATGCATAGGCTCTTCACCCCTGTTCGGGCAAAAAGCACCACTGGGCAAAGATGCGGAAAGATCTCTCACCGACGCTTGAGTTATCGAGCGCTAGATCTGGTCCAACACCCCGATGCGCCATAAACGGCACTATAATAGTCATGGTTCCAACTTTCTGCGCGTAGTCAGGGAAGCAGCGACTAGAGCCTGTTCATCGCCAGAGATACCGGTGGTCTTAGACTTGAGCTCGGCATAACTTGGAGAAAAAAGTTCACTACCGGTGAGGTCGTTCCAGTGGAAGGCAGCCGGTTCCTTCCACGGTAAAATGGTAACTCTCTGACTCAAAGACGTTACACAACGCTACAGACCAAACCTTAGCCCGTATGTACCGCTCCCCAACATGTACTGCATCGGGAATCTTCGACAAGCAGCACGAACGAAGCAAATCACAAATCCACATCCATCCCCCAACCTATCCGTTCCGAAACAAAAGAACACGACCATCAGCTCCATCATGTCACCCATGCTGAATAGTGGTCCCGGTATAATGCCGGTTGCCCTGTATAATGACGTCAAGATCGTCTGGCACAGATGGAATAATCATAATCAAGGTGTTTCATACTCTACACAAGGCCGGTTGCCCGCTCTAACGCCGTTTCAAGGGGTTGGCGCCTACCGCATGCCGTACCGTACCAGCATTATACCGGGACCACTACTACTGTACACAGCAAAGAAATCTCTCCGTCATGTACAACGCCTTTTTTACCTCCTCTGGCTGGATGAACTGCTCCTTCTTTTGCCCCTGTCCCTGCTGTGCCACTCTGGGCGTCTTCCCTCCCGCCGTGGTGGCAGGCATCTTTCCTGCAAGCACGCTGGATGCTACCGCCGTTGTCGCAATCCCTGCTCCCTTGGCGACGGCAACAGGCGTCTCGACCTGAGGGACGTCACGGCCCGTTCATGAGTTTTTGGGGTGAAAGTTCTGCACAGGGGAGGGGATGTCCTCAAGCGTCCTCTGTCTGATCGGTAACGACAACACTACCCTCTCTAAAACGGAGGGACTATCGAAAGCACGCTACATATTATATGCGTTGACGACATATTCGGAAGGTGTGCTGAGGAAGAACCAGAAAGTTTCGACTGTTGCTGAGCGTCTTCGAACAAACAGATATTCTTGCTGCAGGGCACGTCTACTTCCGGCCCACAAGCATGCCCTCGTCTCATACATACCCGATCGAAGCTGACGGGCATGAAGCGGCTCTTCTCCCCAGATCCGCTGCCACCTGCGGGAACACACCACACGAAACAAAACGCCACGGTCACCAACGGCAGTGTGCCCTCGGTGCTGTGTCGTATTCGTTACGGTCGCCCGCTCGAAGCTAAACCTGCTCCGGGTCTTCCGCGAGATACAGTACGTCTCCACTTTTCTTGATCACGTAAACGTACAGCAAAGACTAACGAAAGAGACGCTAGCATCCAAGCCCAAACAACAACGGTAGTGGCGACCGACTCGTGCTTGCTTCCCGACTTGCGAACGACTTTGAGATCGCCAGCAGGGGTGTGTGAGACGCTGAAAGTCGCCCCCGTGTGTACGGACCAAATCCTAGAAGATTGACACACCTTCGATGATTTCCGGCAGTTCGGGGTCATCCGTAGCCTGGGGTTGGGGGGCGCGCGCGCGGGGGGGGGGGGGGTACTCTTGGGGTTGGGGGCGGGCGGCGGCGAAAGAGGCAGCGACGTGAATTTCGAGTCGTTTGTGCTATGGTCCGCACACACGGTTGGACGCTTGAGCCCTCTCTCGACAGTGGAAGCTGGAGCTACTTGTATGATGCTCGCCGCGGGCGCGTGTTGTTGTTGTGAAGGTACACGGTTATGATTGTAAATGTCGCACCTACCAGAATCAAGTGTCCGACGAAAGAAAGCCCAGAGGTACAATATATATCTACCGACCTGCTGTGTGACGAGAGCGAAGCGAGTTGTCGAGTTGCTGATGATGCCTCCTCCCCCAAACAAGAGGATCGTTTAGGTTTTTCCTGTCCCAACTGGATCATCCCAAACGAAACGAACCGCCGGAACTTCCCAAACAAAACTAACCGAGGGACGTCCAACTTTGGCGCAAAATATAATTAGCACTACCACCGATTCATCCTCGACATTTTTTTATGGAAAGAGATGAACTTGTTTTTGGAAAAAATAAAATGCAAACTCCACCAGAAAACAACAGCTTGCAGCAGCGCTCCTGGCAGAGAAAGAAAAACAGGCTGCCCCTTCTGCTGTTGTTTGCTTGTATACCTGGTCCAATTCGTTCATTTTTTCTAGGACTTTTTGCTCGGTGTTGCGCACGGGCATGCGACTTTGCACCATATCCCAACATACCGCAACTTCAGTGCTGCATTGGTGATACACAGCAAAGTAGCCAGCCCTAACCTCTCTACCCGTCAGATCTTTGTCTGCTGAGCTCTTTCGCTGCTGTTCACCCTTGGTTCTCATCGAGAGCACGCGCGGGGCAGAGAACAGGTTGATGTTCCTCCGCGGACAAACAAAACAACACGGCGTGTCGGGTTGTCTACGCCGAGGGTACGACGCCAGTCACCAACGGAGACTGGGTAGTCCCATGCTTTCCTCCAGAGGCTGTGCTGCTGCTGTGCGTGATACTGTCTGTCGCGGGGTATGGGTGCGTCTACGATGATATCCATACACTGACTGCTGGTGGTTGCATAAGATCATGTAACATTGTAGATTCCAGGAACTGCGGGAAGATTTTTTCCAGGCCGAACAAAACATACTGCCTCGGTGGTCTAAGGGCCAGGTCATGGGTTCGAGTCCCGGCAAAGTGAGTTCACACTAAATGAATCCTGGTCTAAGTTGGAAGCGACGCGCTGCAAAGCTCGTTGTGAGTAAACTTGATCGACTTCATACGTCGCGAGGGAAGGGATTGCTGTACCCTTCTCGCGATAAAAGTATCTCAGGCAGGAACCGCAGGAGGGGGTCCAACCCCCCCCTCGTATGTGACCCCGGTTGGGTCGTCTAGCTAGTAGAAGTGGAGGATGGGGGCCAGAGGGGCAGACGACAGAGTCCGATGATGGGAGAAAAAAAAAAAAATACTATCCGGAATACGAAGCACACCACAACTCACCAGCCCCCGCCGTGCAATCGCCGACGCACTCAGTCATCATTGCTCGCCACCCGGAGTTCCCAGGGAGAGCTAATCAAACAATAACAAACCCCAGGTGTCTCAGTTCATTCACAGGCCCTCCCCGTCGCACGTGGAAAGTGTACTGTAGATCTACATCGTCCCGCGGGCGGACTACTGTAAATAAGACACAACCTTCAAACTCACCATCATCATCAAGCGCGAGCGGGATTTGCGCGTCGTCGTTGATGCCAAGCCGTGCTCGCAATGATCATCTCGGCTCAACGCTGCTGCCCCCCGATCCAAGGGCGCTGCTGCGTATCGGAAACCATCTGCGCGCGTGCAAATAACCCCAGGGGGAGGAAGAAAGAGCGTTGCGACGAGAACGGAGAGAGAGAGGATGGGTTCCCAGTTTGAAAATATGTGTACTGGAGAGGAAGATGCGCAAGGGCAGCGATATTTCCTGATAGTGCCAAGCGGCAGAGAGTTCCCTCCTCATTCCCCATACACATGTCACGAAGCATGCGGATCTCATCAAGCATCGCAAAGTGGCAGCGATAGGATACCGGTATACCTTGTCGTGAGTCGCAGCGGGCGACGCAAGATATTGTACGTCAATCAGCGCGGATGCGACGTGTGCCCTGGACATCGCGCGCCCATCACACGGATTCACACCAACCGTACAAATCCCTAGTACTTGCGGAGGGCAAACGACCGCAGACAGGCACGTTCAAGGATCTACGGCGGCGGCCGTTTGCACCAACCAGTGGCATTTGCTGACCTGCAACCCGCAGCACGGCGAGGGCAGCAGCAACGACAACTGCTCTCGCGGTGCTGATTTGTCTCCTTCTCTGAACCATCCCCATCTCCTTCCCGGCTGACGACATGTAGTCAAGCGGTTCACTAGCACAACGACCCTTCGTCGAGCACGCAGAAAAGGTAGGTAGGTTGGTTGCTCCTATCCTGGGTCCTCGCTGGCTCTCTGTGTCTGCTCTGTTCCAGGTTGCAGGATCACGGGGATGCTGCGGGCTGCGGGGCCATCAAAGGGGCTCCGTGACCATAGGCTCCCCTATCTTTTGTATCCGATCTGCGGGCCCCCTGGCTCCCCTTGCTGGCGTCCTCTGGTGTTGCGCTGTGTATCGCTACCCCGTGCACCAAACACTGCGGTCACCTCCTCCAACAGCCACTCTCCTTCAATCTGTTGGGAAAGGGTCGAAAGAAAGAGGCAACAGGGCGTGCGTGGAGCAGCGGCGGAACGGAGCCAGGGAGATCCTCCTTTGACCCGCGGCGTGTCTTTCGACAACAACAGCAGATCCAGCGCCAGCACTACCACCGCACCACCACCAACACCACCAACATGGCCGCGAATGGAGACGGAGGGTAAGTGATATTTCACCACAGATGTTTGTAGCACCATCAACTGTCGGCAAACTACAAGCGATTGCGTCAGAGTAGCAACGTGATTTGTTCACCTTTTTTTTTTCAAATTTGACTAGCCTTCAAGAGCTGTGGTTCGAATCGACCCACACAGCGGCGACATTCAGAGCGAGTTGGGCGGCGGCGGGGGAGGGGTTACAGACTCAGGGCCGCTACAAATTTTAAATGTGCGGGAGGTAACAGAGGACCGACGAATAGAAATCGTGTCTACCGTGCGAGTGAGGGTAGCGTCGGGTCCGTACGGCAAAGACAGGAGGGTCCAGTTCGAACATGTGGAACATCCGCGCTCTGGTGGAGGTGTTGTGGGCGGGATTTTGGGCAAATTTTGAATGTACGGTGCATGAAAAAAAAAAAGAAAAAGGAAAAGGAGGAAACCCCGGGTTTTGTAGGAAGAGTTCTGCGATCCGTCACGTGTTTGACTCGACCTTACTCGACCATCCCGCCCTCGATGAACTCGCGAGTTTTTGCACTAGAGCGCAAAGAAAGCCAGTACCCACGATCGACTGCTGTGAGTCGTTTAGGCACCCTGACACATAGTCCTGTTTGATTTTGACGAGCCACCGCTATGACATACCACATGGCATATCATACACACACACATACATGCATGTACGGTGTGGCTTTCTCTCTGTCCAACAGAACCGCGTGACCACCAGTATCATTACAGTATTCGGATAGCATGCAGAGAGCCCGCAGCCCGCACTGCATGGGAGTAGTAGCCGTCGCGAGCAGAGCACAGGACAATGGCGGGCGCTGCCTCGACAGATCATGCAGAGGATGAGAAAAGATCCCAAGTTAATAACTCTCCAACGGCCACAACTAGTCTCGCTTCTAAAACTCAGCAGACCAACCCAGCGCTGCGTCGTAACTAAATAAACAGCAGGGCAAGGAACAAAGACCTGCTTGGGAAAGCGTGTGTATTGGTCTGAAAGGGTTCATTCGGCTGCCAGACTCTCTGTTTAGCCGGTGGGCGCACCCTCTCTCTCTCTGTCATCAGCTGTCGCATCAGCTTCGAGGCTCTCTGGTGGGCGGCGTACGCTCTCTCTCTCTCTCTCTCTCTCTCTCTCTCTCTCTCTCTCGCTCTCGCTCTCTCTCTCTCTCTCTCTCTCTCTCTCTCTCTCTCTCTCTCTCTCGCTCTCTCTCTCTCTCTCTCGCTCTCTCTCTCTCTCTCTCTCTCTCTCTCTCTCTCTCTCTCTCTCTCTCTCTCTCTGCTCTGGGTCGCTGTTGTTGCGGCAGCAGCAACCAGCTGCTAACACTCTTAATTGCTGGCGTGGTGATTGTTCTGTAGCGGCTATGTCTGTGGCAGCTGTGAGGTCTCTAACACGTCAAAGAGTGTTACAGATGCTGTCGGTATTGGACATTTTCCCCTCCTCTCTTTTCTCTATATATGTCCAATACCGACGGAACGTGCACCGCCAGTAAAAAATCGCCTTTCCCGGACAGAGTTTTAGGAGTTTAATTACGCGGGCGAAGCCTGCCAATACACGGTGAAACCCATTCATCTGCAGGCCACACCCCTTCAAAATGTTGCACCTCACTCAATGAATCAATGAAGGAAAGGACACCAGACCAGGGGTACCGTCACCGGGGCAGCAAAGAAATCACCGTGCATATATTCCGCCATGCGGGTTGTCGACATACCGACGCGTCGGGATGGATGATTGATGGCGATTGCTTTGGGTGGGGTGTTCACTCCAAATAACCCACCGATAGATGGGCAGCAAAAAAAGCCACCGGGACAGATTTAACTTGGCGTCCGCCAATCAGCTGTCTCCATTTAACTTGGCGCCTACTTGGCGTCTTGTCTATTTTCGAGTAATTTTGGCAATTACGCCGCTTTTTCTTCTGGGCGCACCGCATTCATTCGAACCAACCAGTTCAGAGACCGACACACATCAGGCGGGAGCCTGGGCGCTGCAACTGACGCATACCAGACGCCAACAGCAGCAGAGACCACTCTGGTCTCTGTGTGCACGAAGTTTCGCAATGTCAACCCACACTGAGTGTCGATGACGAGTACGCAGCAGCACCCGCTAGAAGAAGAGCTACAAACACGCACGCACCCATCACGCACACACACGCGAATATTTTATGTCGAGCTACTGCAGCACAGCAGTAGTAGTACCCACACCCAGGGATCCATGCCCGCTTTTATATCATCTGCACGCCCGTCCTCTCGCCAGAACACTTCAAGTAACGTGATGATGATGCTCTGGCAGCTCCGCGTTGTTTTTTTTCGCTCTCTTGACTCCATCTATCGGTAGGTTCTTTATTGGAGTGAACACCCCACCCAAAGCAATCGCCATCAATCATCCATCCATCCCGACGCGTCGGTTTGTTGACAACCCGCATGGCAGAATATCTGCACGGTGATTCTTTTGCTGCCCCAGTGACGGCACCTCTGCTCTGGTGTCTCCGTTCCTTCATCGATGCATTGAGTGAGGTGCAACATTTTGAAAGCGTTTGGCTCGCAGATGAATGGGTTTCACCGTTTATTGGCGGGCTTCGCCCGCGTAATTTAACTCCTAAAAGCTCTGTCCCGGTACATTAAAAATTTGCCGATAGATGGAGTCAACAGAGCGAACAAAACAACGTGGAGGTGCCAGAGTATCATCACGTTACTTAAAGTGTTCTGGCGAGAGGACGGGCGTGCAGATGATATAAAAGCATGCATGGATCCCTGGGTGTGGGTACTACTGCTGTGCTGCAGTAGCTCGACATAAATAGTCGCGTGTGTGTGCGTGCGTGCGTGTTTGTACGATCTCCCTCTCTCTCCTCGCTGTAGCTCTTCAGGGGGGTGCTGCTACGTGCTCGTCATCGACACTCAGTGTGGGTTGACATTGCGAAACTTCGTGCACACAGAGACCACTGGTCTCTGCTGCTGTTGGTGTCTGGTATGCGCCAGTTGCAGCGCCCAGGCTCCCGCCTGATGTGTGTCGGTCTCTGAAGTGGTTGGTTCCAATGCGGTGCGCGCACAAGAAAAAAGCGGCGTAATTGCCAAAATTACTCGAAAATAGACAAGACGCCAAAGTAGGCGCCAAGTTAAATGGAGACAGCTGATTGGCGGACGCCAAGTTAAATCTGTCCCGGTGGCTTTTTTTGCTGCCGGATTTTGCTCATCTACAAATACACATACGCCAACCCCTGAACTCCATCTTTTTCTTGCAGGCACACAAGGTGGAGGAGATCACCGGGACATACGTATGCATATGCCCCAACATGAACCGAGAGAAAGAGCTCGACATAGACGTTCCGTGGCGTTTTTTTCTCGTTGTTTGGCAATGGCAATCTCCTGTTTCAGACCGTTCACGTCTCCGATGCCACACGGAACCACTCTCTGTTGTTTACTTCTACACAGTAGCAGCAGCAGGTTCTTGTGTAGGCGTGATAAGGCGTGCCAAGCGATTTCACCGGCATAAACATCCGCATATCCGCAAGAAAACTATGATTCTACGTACCCACAAGGGGTATGAGACACGAGACACCACAGCAGCCCATTGATCATGTTCGAGCGTTGAAGACAAGACCTACCGTAGGTTATTAGACGGCGGTGTGGCGTCTTGTGTACACCACCCTTGCGACAGAATGCGTTTCGGGGATCCACTGCAGTCTGGGGTGTGTGACAACATGTGTACGTGATGTCTCTCCTGGCAAATAGTTGTCGCAGCCTGCGTAGCGTAGACTGATAATCAGGAGATGTGATCCTACCTGCTACAAGAGACCCTGACGACAAAGCTTCCCGCCTGAATGGTCTCGTCTGTGCAGCTGACATCTCTGCGGCATGAAGAATCAAGTTCCAAACCCACCTCTCGACAACCCCCCCTGGGTGGCAACAACAACCCCCGGCAATGGTAGAAAAACATCCATACTTTTCCAACGTACCGACCATGGCTACACCTAGGCACCCTGGGAACACCTAGATGGTTGTCGAGTGACACAGCCATTCAGCACAAGGAGGTTTTCACTATTGTTGGCGTCTGCGCATTTTTTTTCTTTCATCAGCTAAAGTGCGTGAATTTCTGCACCCCAAAACAGGGTCATAAAGGACGGCGCGGTGGTTGAACCAGAGAAGCCCGTTGAGTCTTCCGCTGCCAAGACAACGGCTGCGGCAGTCGTGCCTGACGTAGCTGTTGTCGCCAAGGAGCCGGCAGAAGCAAGAGAAGCGGAGGAGGTGGACGGGGAGAACGGTGCCGTTGCCGCTCAGGAGGCAGCGGTGGTGGTCGCTGCAAGCCCTGAGGGGCACGGTGAAGAGGAAGAGGAGGAGGAGGAGGAGGAGGAGGAGGAGGAGGAGGAGGAGGAGGAGGATGAAGACGAAGACGAGGATGAAGACGCAGACGGTAGGGCGGACTCGTGTTTGCTTACGTTATTTTGAGCTACCAAAGCCTGTGTTGATATACCATACTATCATGCCGATGTAAGGCGGCTTGACTCGCACCTCAGCGGCATGAGTGCGTGCCGTTATATGTCGGGGGTGGTAAAGAAGGAACTACGGAAGGAATACGTCGTCAGTTGTCTCAAAACCAAGGCGGGTAGCACTTGGGTGTGCCTGCCCACACGACCTTGTCTTTGGGAGTGTCAAGACCGGAAAACAATCAAGTCGTTCGAATCTGGCTGCCACTTGTACAAGACAGAAGGCACCAATGTGGACAAGTCAGCCTTCTTTTCACAACGGGTTCTTGGATGAGGGTCACCCTTTGTGCCGCTTGCTCCACACCTCACGGGCGTTTTTTGGGGTGTGGGTGTAATGTTTCGCCTAGTGGTCGGTTACAACCCGACGGGAAATATCCCCGCTTCGTAGTATTAGGGATGCGAGGTGTAATAGGTCTGGTGGCTACGGCGACGTAGCTGTTGACCCCCCACACACACACACGCTTTGTAGGGATGCGAGGCCAATCGTCTAACAGCTACGGCATGCACGGCTCTGAGTACCCCCCCCCCCCCGCCCACACACACACACACACACAAACCGTCTTCCAGCTTCTATTCTCGTATGTATGTGTTCCTCCCCGCCCCTTTCGGGCGACTTTTTAGCGCAGCGCAAGATATTTGTTCGGGTATAGTGGCCCAAAACCACGGCGCCCGCTTGGTCGTGTACTACTTTCATCTCTTGGATTAAGTCTGACGTGTTTCTTGCTCCCTTCCCTCCTCCGTATTCGTCCAATCGAAGGTGACGATGAAGACGAAGACGAGCAACAAGAGGAAGAAGCCAGCGGCAGCGGAGGGGGCGAGGGGAAGGGTAAAGGGAAGGGGAAGGGGGCGGCGGTGGCGGAGAAGGAGAGACGACCCAAGAAAAAGGCGAAAAGAAGCTACGACGACGACCGCCTCGAAGCGGTTTCAAAAGGTGCAAAATTAGTTCGGGGAGAAAGAACAACAACGACTTTCTGCGTGTGCCACTGCTCGTCTTAAGTTTTCGTCATGGGGACCGTTGGATTGGAATAGCTGCGAAACATTAGGGTGCGGAATCAGCTCCGTCCAGAAATATCGCCACTCCCGTGGTCAATTTTTTCCCACCAATCAACGTGGCGGGTTCGCGTATGCCCGATCGCCTAGACGGCACGAAACAACGTTCATGCCGTGTTTACTGGGCTGCTTCATCTCGGCTGCTGGACGTGTTGTGGCGTGTTACCGTCATTGTGGCTATTGCTGGACACGTGCTTGGTCACACGAAAATGGCAAGCAAACACGTGACCCCCCCCCCCCCCCCCCCGGCAAACCCCTAACTTTTTTGGCTGTCCCAAAAAAAAAAATCTCTGCGCCCAAGGGGAAAAATATTTACCCCCCCGCCCCCCCCCAGGGGGGGATTGCCTCTCCCCCCCCCCCGGGGGCAAAAAATTGGAAATTTCTGGGGGGGGCCGCCAAACAAGACCAATACCACCAT